CATAAATACAAAATGTGTATGTGGACCAAAAAAATTGATAGATGTGAGACAAATATTTGTAATTATAAATATGAATCAGTTTGTTTGGTTTTAGTTTTTAGAAAATAATTTTTAAAAAATTTTACTTTTGTATTTTAATGTTTTCAATGAATTTTTTTAACATAAACACACTTAAAAAGTATAATATTTGTGAAAAAAAATCTTTAATAATACACTAAATACCAAAAAATATAAATACAAAAAATACAAAAAATTTAGTACATTTTTGTATTTTTGTGTATTTATTAATTTTTTAAAATATTTTTTCACAAATATTTTACTATTTAGATACATCTAAGTAAAGTGCATCTAAAAAAGTAAAAAAAAAAATATTTAAATTTAAAAAATATTTATTAAAAACAAAAAAACACAAAATAAAAAACTCAATTTTTAAAAAATTGAAATCAAACATACTAAATATATTTGTAATTATAAGTGTAAATATTTTTTGTTTTATATCTATGTATTTCGCGTCCAATTTCTTCTATACACATAACATGGTTGACACAAATAAGAATTTACTATTATCCCAAAGTAATGTTTCACAACATATCACACGTTTAGGCCGCCATACAATATAACTTTATCGAGTTTAAGAAATAAAAAGTCTACCAACACAAAATTCATTGAAGAATCAATCACATAGTAGAGCAATTTGTTATTGTAACTCTTATGATGTGTCCCACTATGTGATATACATGGTCAAAACTATTTTATTTAGTTGGTCCTAGGTCAATAGACATGATAAAATTCTTTGGTGGCATTTGATACCGCTGTCAGTTTATTATATTTTATTTTACAAAGAAATAAAATGCATGAGTTTGTATTTAAATAATAAAAAAAAACATATTTAGTGAGTTGTTAGAGAAAATTAATAGAGATGGTGGTCGAAGGTGGTAAGGAAGGGAAGAGATAATAAAAACATGCTTTGGAAACAAGTAAAAACACTAGTGTTTTCTTATTTTTCTTATTACCTCTACTTATATGTTCTTCCGTCAACCTATTTGTCTATCTATCCAAATGTTCGTTTATTTGTCCACGTGTCTACCGCCATCGCTAATCACTGATGACTTTTCGATGGGACATAGGAGATTGATAGTAGTGTGTGAGAATAGAGAGAGAAAATAGAGATAAAAAAAAGTACAAGGGTAAAAATGAAAAAAAAAAATCTTCTGAAATAATGCTTTACACTTCTCACCAATATATCTTATTAACCATGTCCTTCAAACTAAAAATAGATCAATCAATGAACTTAATGCCATATATATCCAAAAAAAAAGTGAATATATCACCAATTTGTCTAAATAAAAAAATAAATTATGCAGATCCCTACTGAGGTTTGAAGAAAACAGAAAAAATACAATAAGCTCTATAATTTAAACATAATTACACCAACTTCCCTTTTAGTAAAGTTAAAATAACTAAAATTAATATAGATGGTGTGACAATACAAAGATTATCAAGATAAGATATATTTCAATGTAAAATATATGATGACATCATTTTTTTTTTAACGAATAATTGATCAAAAAGAAATTAAGTGTTATATGAATTAAATCTTTAAAGGATTCTAATATAATAATGCCAAGCTTATGAGGCTTACTACATTTTCTCGAAATGTCATGAAAAGTTAGTGTAATTTATTCCACAAAACAAATAAATAAATAAAAATACAGTAATTATTCTTTTTCAAAGTAACTAACTTGAATGTGTAACATTTACTTGGCAATCCATATGCGAAAATGCTCTGAGATCCCCTTCTGGTAATGTTTAAGATTTTATTTACTTTTACGAAAATTTTAAAATTTAAAACCAAAAACTAGTTTGATGTCTATTTTTTTCCCAAAAAAATTGTGAATAATTTATAAAATTAACCAAAAATATGCTTTACTTGTTTTGAAAACAAACTTTTGTCTCTTCCTCCCTTCTCCACACCTTCGAAAAGTCTTTCACCTCTGGTCTTCTCCCGCCCCTACTTGTTTTCAAAATTTTGTTTTGAAAACATGTGTATTAATATGTTTTTGTTTACTTTTATTTTTACTAAAAATAAATGTAAATATAATTAATATTTTCTGTAAATAAATAAAAAAAATTAGACTACAAGCATTAAACTCCAAACCACCTGAATCGATTAAAGGCATGTTTACTTGGGTAGACATGGTCTTGGGATTGGATTTAATAATCCAACAAAGTGAATAATTTGATGTTTAGCTAAGAAAATTGAGGTCCGAATTAATAGTTCGTTCAAACATAGTATCCCCCATATGGGGGTATTATTGAATGCCCAGAGAGGAGTGATATGCAAAATGGAAGACTAAGGAGAAGTTCATATTAATTAATTAAATTATAAAATTGTTTGGATCTTGTCAATACTTATAATCCTAAATCAATTCAAAAATGAAATATGCTATACAATTCAAATGGATTGATAATCTTACGACTAGCATTCCTAGGCATGCTAATCCCAATCTAATGTGTCCAAACAAACATGACTTAAGAATAGAATAATCAATGTTCAATTTGAGATATTTCTCATAATGTATTAATGAATTATCTCATATATATATATAAATGACAGACGACGACGACAATAATAATAATAATAATAATAATAATAATACCAGTATCCCCCATATGGGGGTACTATTGAATGCCCAGAGAGGAGTGATATGCAAAATGGAAGACTAAGGAGAAGTTCATATTAATTAATTAAATTATAAAATTGATTGGATCTTGTCAATACTTATAATCTTAAATCAATACAAAAATGAAATATGCTATACAATTCAAATGGATTGATAATCTTATGACTAACAGTCCTAGGCATGCTAATCCCAATCTAATGTGTCCAAACAAACATGACTTAAGAATAGAATAATCAATGTTCAATTTGAGATATTTCTCATAATGTATTAATGAATTATCTCATATATATATATAAATGACAGACCACGACGGCAATAATAATAATAATAATAATAATAATAATAATAATAATGTGTTGAGTATTTTGTCATTTATTTAGATGAGCAGAAAGAAATTAGTGTTGATTTTGATTGTTAGCAAACTTTATGTAAAACTTTTTGGATTCGATAGCATTCCTTGATAAGCCCATAGCCCCTTTACATCAGCTATTAGTGTGAGTGAAACTTTTTCACATTGAAAATAAGTAATGCTTACAATAGTATGGTTTGGACCATCAAGAAAAATCAAATATAATATCATTCAAAGATATTAGGGGTACTTTTAAAAGATATTAAAGTGAAATTACGCCTAACTGCTTATTTGACGAGAGATTATTTGATGGTCTTAAAACAATATTTCACACCATTTATTACTTGACATTTGTTAAATTAACTCTCAAAAACTCAATTTGGTGGTCTTAAGTTCTATTGTTTTGACTATCTAAACAAAAAAGTTCTAATGTTTTAATCAATAAATATCAAATTGAAGCGTCACACGGATTTGCCCAAAGACCAACAAAATAATTTTCCCTAGTTGACAGTCCAAAAGTGGGGATACGCTCCCCTCCATTCTCTCTTGTAGGCCTCAATTCAGATTTACTTTGATGATTTAAACCATCTACTTCATAGGCTTCACTTTAAAGGTTATTCATACAAAAAATTAAATTTATCTGACAACTATAAATACAAACAAATTACGTTTTATTTTACAAAATGAATTATTTAAATTTATAATCTTATTTGCTATTTATTCTATAAAATAAAATGTGATTTGTTCTTGTGTTTATAGATGTCCGATAAAATTAATTTTTTGTATGGATGACCTTTTTTACAGAAGTTACAAAGTAAACGATTCAGATCATCAATGTAAGTTCGAATTTGGACCCACAAGAAGAGTATAGATGAATATGAAGAAATGCAATTATGGAGGAGAGCTTATCTCCAAAAAAAAGTGAATCTAATCAATCAAGCAAGAAAAAGGATTTTCAATAGTGATTAGCGGTTGATAGTTGTTGTAAGAATGCTTATCGCCATACCATGTAGAATTTGATCCTCACAAAATAAATGTCACAATTAGCAATTCTTTAACGCTGTGTTTGGTTGGAGGATTTGGGAAGGGAAATGGAATGGGAAATGGAAATGAAAGGAAAAGGAGAAAGAATTAATAGAATTCCAAATCCCAACTATGTTTGGTTGTGTTGGTTATAAAATAGAATTGATGTCCTAAAAGGTCTCCTATTTCTTTATTTATTTCTCACCCTTACAGAAGTTACAAAGTAAACGGTTCAGATCATCAATGTAAGTTCGAATTTGGACCCACAAGAGGAGTATAGATGAATATGAAGAGATGCAATTATGGAGGGGAGCTTATCTCCAAAAGTGAATCTAATCAATCAAGCAAGAAAAAGGATTTTCAATAGTGATTAGCGGTTGATAGTTGTTGTAAGAATGCTCATCGCCATACCATGTAGAATTTGATCCTCACAAAATAAATGTCACAATTAGCAATTCTTTAAATGTTTGTCAAACAAAGTATTACATTCCTTCACAACTTTGCACTCATTATTGATAAATGCTAGAGCGATCAACAACCTTAATTTGCTTATTCATGTCTATCACAACTCAAACACTTCAGAATAACAAGAAATGGATCATCCTTTCAAGCTTAGGTTCCCTGATTTCAGTGCAATACCATGGAGAGAAGCAAATGAATTTTCCAGGAGTACATCACTAGATTAATTTTAAAAATTCGCACCTTATAAACCATAGAAACAGTCTCTCTGTAGACGCATGTAAGGCTACGTACATCTTACCCTACCTTCCAAACCTCACAACAGTGGGAGCCTCATGCATTAGGACTGCCCTTTTTATGTCACCGACCATGAACTCAGTTTTTTATTTTTTAGCCAAAGACAAACAAATCTCCCGAGGATGTCGAGCAGCAATTAATAAATCTCCCACAAAAAACACAGGAAGAAAGTCATAACAAGTCCAGACTACAAAAAAAAACTAAATTGCATTGAGATTGAACTATTTTTCTGAAAATGATAGCTCCTCCCTTCACCACATTACATTTATAAAAAAATATGCTTCCCTCTTGTCATCACTACAAAGAATGCTGGCCTAAAATGACCCCACTAACAAATAAATAAAAAATAGGGCAACTGAGAGGGAGAGGGGGGGTTGGAAGAACCAAGCAAAACAGAGGCACTCGTGTAAATTCCATCCTCTACCCCTTCTAATTATATCAGAAAAAAGCCTATGCATGTTACAAATCTAAATTCAAAGAATAATTTTACTGATGGATGTTACACTAATGAGGAAGTATCTACAGAGAAAATTTGGTGGCGAATTTACATTGCGGCATTTGACCCGAGTAGTAGTGGTAGTGCCTGTCCATCTTGTCTTTGTTGATCTGCGGGCATCATAAAAGGAAAAGAACCGAAGAACAACAGCCTTATTCCTGTAAAAATTCGAAGGCCGGATTTTCAACTAGTTCTGCGGGAGGTTTTACATCTGAGAAATCCTTCTCTTTGACGGAACTGTTAATTTCATCAACCGAGAAGGGAATGCTGCATTTATGGAGCACAATTAGTTGGAAACAATGTTACCAGAAACTCTACTACCCTAGCGGATTAAGTTTTGGAATGCACATTCTGAAACATAGTACACTTTCATCCGTAAACGACATATTTAGCTATCTATAATGATCTCAATTTTTTTCCCAATATTTCTCCTAAAGGGTTCCTTAAAAGTAATAAAATCAAGTATTTTTTAATTTGATTGGCACCAGGGTGTCCAAATCAAAACCCGACTAATCCCCAGAGGTGCATAGGCCCTCCGCAAGGAGTTTCCCGCAAGTCCACCACGGTTAATTCAAGGGTTTTTCTCTAAAGAATTGTTAGTACCTAAGAGGTTTCGATCCCTGAACCTTGGAGGGAGTACACCCCCAAGATCCAAGGCCCTACCACCAGGCTAACCCCTGGGGGTTAAGTAATAAAATTAAATATAATAAACTAAAATTTAAGGTAATGTTAAAATGAGTCATAATGCTTACACAAATGTAATCTACATGACATTTGGCGGAAAAAACCTTCAATTTATTTGATATCTAATTGTTAAAAGAAAATTACTCAAGCAGTGCCTTAAATTCTTGTAGTGTAATCTATCAAGTCTACTCTTGTCATATCACATTTTATAGCATGTAGCATACCATGTTCTCGTTCCCATTCCACATATTGAAACAATCCAATGTTGCAAGTAACATAGGTTCGCAACATAAAATCAATTCTTTAAGAGGGTAATATTTTATCATACCTAGAATTGTCATCCAACAAAAAGGAGTTGTTATCTGAATCATCCGAGTCTTCTGTCATTAGTATCTTCATGCTGGAAATAACCTGTGCAATGTGACAGTTGGAGCAGGGATGTGAGCCACAAAAAGGAACAAACAAATTACACGACAAAAAGTTTAATTTAAGCTCTAAAGAAGAAGATTATATTGTCATTTCTTTCAGCTTACATCTGGGGATACACTTGGAGTGTTATAATTGTCATCACAGTAAAGCGTGCATACTCTATAAAGCTGTTGTACACTCAGTATCTGAAATCATATATATTTGGTACCATTGTTGAGGGATACTTATAAAATTTATATATGTGATTATTGTTAAATAAAGAGAAAATAAGAGGTTAACCAATCTAAGAAGTTTAGAAAAGTAAAACTTAATTTCAAAGGAGAAAACTAAGAAAAAGACATTAATTTGGCTCAAACAGTATACACTAGTTCCAGAATAGTGAAACCATTAATAGTGAGCAAATTAAAAGTATCTAAGGCATACCATCTGAATTGCACCATGATAAAGAACCAAGAGGACATACCAAGAATCCGACAGCCTGTCTTACGTGTTTTAGTTCATCCCAGGATGTCCCTGCATACTGCATTGGGGAGAAAACAGACATTATAGCAAAAATGTGCCTGACCAAAAATATCAATAGCAAGGACAAGTTTGGTGCCAAACAAAAATATATATAGTGTAATTAGTCTCCTATGGGCCGTTGCTAGTGTGGGAAAAACTAGAGCTGTTAAGTATGAGACCTACTTCACCTACTTTCCTACACCTACCACACACACTCACCTACTCCCAAATCCTCTCCTATATAATAGGAAGCCTTGTAATATCAACTTAACAACAATCAGAAATCAATACCAATCAATAATACATCAATATATATACATAATTTGTTCTCTCTCTTTCTATATGTATTAATTTTATCAATTTGGTACCATTGTTGTGGGATACTTATAAAATTGCAGTGTTCTACCAAGGAGGAATGCGATCACTTATTCTTTAATGTCAAAAGACAAGCACACAAGTTACAATTCCGCTGTATCCTTGAATCATATATATTTGGTAACCATTGTTGAGGGATACTTATAAAATTTATATATGTGATTATTGTTAACCAATCTAAGAAGTTTAGAAAAGTAAAACTTAATTTCAAAAAAGAAAACTAAGAAAAAGACATTAATTTGGCTCAAACAGTATACACTAGTTCCAGAACAGTGAAACCATTAACAGTGAGCAAATTAAAAGTATCTAAGGCGTACCATCTGAATTGCACCATGATAAAGAACCAAGAGAACATACCAAGAATCCGACAGCCTGTCTTACGTGTTTTAGTTCATCCCAGGATGTCCCTGCATACTGCATTGGGGAGAGAACAGATATTATAGCAAAAATGTGCCTGACCAAAAATATCAATACCAAGGACAAGTTTGCTGCCAAACAACAATATATATAGTGCAATTAGTCTCCTATGGGCCGTTGCTAATGTGGGAAAAACTAGAGCTGTTAAGTATGAGAAGTCAGAACCAGTTAGAGTCTAAGGGCAGCCACATAAGTCGTGTTAGGTTTCTACCTAATCCACTTTTCTTTTTTTTTCTTTGTCAAGTGATTTTATTACCAAAAAAAATATGATATACAACGAAACCTTAGAACACGCCCGAAGGCACCACCTCTCTAAAGGGTAACACATGCCTTGCATGTATAACATATTAGATAACACCTATCACAACCCGAAAAACTAGGTCAACAAGAAATATGAACACACCTAGCCTAACAAAATAAAATTTACAGCCCAAGCCACTAGGAATACACTGAAAAGGCTTAGGCTCACAAAGACACTCCTCAACAAGGATACACTTGGCTGAAACAAGCAAAGCCAAAAGAAGTGTTATGTCTATTGTCTATTACATCAAGCAAGGTTGATTCCCCTTCCCCCTTCCTTTTAACCTCTATGTTTAGTACTTCTTTTCCGTCTCTTCTATTTTAATATGTTACATGGGTATTAATCACATGTTTCTTCTTCTGTTCTTTCTTACTCATCCCCTGCAGGACAACAGAACTGTAAACGTTTTTTTTTTTTTTTGATTGGCAACAGAAAGAGATTTCATTAATAAGAATTAAAAGTGATACTATAAACTTCTTCAATATTGGTTTAAATTTTATCAGAACATGTAGACTTAGAACCACTTTTTCATATTCAGTTAATATTGAGACCGGTAATAGGTAATGGCCTTTAAGAAAGTATCCTTTGACCAGTTATAAAAAACCAAAACAGTACCTCTTCTGTTGCTTGGCCACACCACAGTTCTAATTCAGCTAACCCAGACTTCACATATTCCCCATTGTTGAATGTGCAGCACTCCCGTCGAAGAAGAAGGCTGCAGTAGCATAGCACAATTAAAATTCACAACTGAATTTAATAGCATATAATGACAAATAGTCTAGCTACAAGAGAGGAACCTACCTATTAAAAAGCTGTACATTAATATAAGAAAAAATCTGAGTGAACATCTTCTGACAGAGGATTGGAGATAGCTGAAAGAACAATGTATTAAAAGTTAAAATGCATCAAAAAGAAAATCATTGTCCCACTTAATTTGTGTACCATGTGAAAATCACATACAAAATGTTCTTTCAATGTACTGAGGTGCCCATTTAGGCGTTCAATGATGTTCTGCCAGTGACTAGCTGGAGGAGTACTGCTCCCAGAAGCTCGCAACACATTTCCTCCTGATGTTCTTGCTGCCTGAATTGTAAGGGTACGACATGATTGGGGTCACAATACAAATTTACAACTTTACTAGATAATAATCGTAACTCAAATATTCAAAACAACAATATCCAATCTCAATCGTCTTAAAGCCTAATTTATTAACAACAATTATTAGTTACATGGCAAGTAATAGAATGTGAACCATGACCAGCTGAAGCAGAAAATTGAAACTAATGTTACTACTTCATTCTAGCTAACATCTTCCCCAGATTTTTTGACAAAGGATCTATTATCTTTAATCCCAGACAGGCTCACAGAAAAATACATCTAGTGAATAAAAGAGAAAAAGATGTCCAAAACTATAATGTAATGTCAAGAATTCAAAGGACTGAACCATTCAACAAAACAATTTATTTCCTAAAAATTTCCTACCAATAAATATATCATTCATAACTTGGAACAGGTTCAAGTGCTTAACCTTCAAATAACGATATGATTGGTTACCCTGAAAAATAGAATCCAGATACAAGCAGTTGAAAGATCAAACTTTGGTAGACAGTGTACCTGGATACAGGAAGAAAGAAGCGGGGACAAGTCCCTCTTCGAATTGTCTCGAACTATTCCATATATCTTCTCCACATAAGCAGTGAGCTGCTGCTTGAAAAGCAAAGCAGGATATTTGGCCTCAACCTGGTACACTTCAAGCCCGCGGAAAGAAAGGTTGGCAGAAGAAGAGGATGATCGAAATCCCTGAGAGAATATCAAAATCATTTGCATTCAGAAAAATTTCATAGAAATGCTAAATATTGAATTACTTTACATATTGCAATAGAAGATTTCATCAGTTAAATTTCCATTTGTTGTGATAATGCAATCATTTCTCTGCAATCCCATAAAAAGGAAATCATAATAAAATTATAAATAAATGAGTAAATAGGAATTTCGTTACTTGAGTCATCCTTCCAAAGAATGAAGTTGGAGTTGGTGGTTTCCCACCAGTAGCTTTCAAAGTCCTTTGAAGCAAAAACAACAACACCGAAGTATTTGATAGCCAATATGCCATATGAGCATTGTTATCTTGATCCTGAACATAAAATGAATATGTATATACAATAAATAACATAGAGCACATTGGATTTTGTTTTCCTTTACTCAAAATGTAAAGGTCAGACAAACATGTGCATAAAGTTAATTTTTCTTGATAACTTGATTGAAAATTGTGCAAGAAAAAATCAAAGTTAATGAATGATGCAGGTATTACTATCCAATAACGCTTGCTTCGAACTCATAATATAAAGGACTATAAGATCAACAACCCTTTTATAAATAAAAAAAAAAGGTTAAAATGTGGGATATAACAAAGGTGGAAAACAAATGAAGTCTTATCCCACATATTTAAAAGGGGCAGATACAGGGGGGACGGAGGACAGGGGGTTTAAAAAATAAAAAACTAAAATCTGAATAAAGAACAAAAAGAATAACAGAGAAGAAAGTCCACTTTGCCACGGTCCCCTGCCCTTTTTTAAAACTCTTGACCGCATTTGCCATTTTTTAGTATTTCTTTGCCTTGCCAAAGTGAGGGGAAAAAACAGAAAAAAAATTCTCTTTCTAAATTCAAAATGCTTAAAAAATCAAAAGAAGGATTAGAGAACCAAATGGTAGATTCATGTCAAAAGGACTACTCTTAATCCTCCTCCCCCCACTCCTCCCCACAGTTCCCATTACCAATAATTGTATGACTCTTGGATAGCCAAAAGGAATAGCTGTTTAGTGTAATGTAACTCAAGTTACCTCTATTGCAGAACCAATCATCTGAATAAGACGATCAAATACACTGGTTTTTTCTGCTTCAAAAGATTTCCAACGGAGAAGGCTTTTATATATGGTAAAAGCTGCAACTGGTTTTCCATGACTGAACCCAAGATCTCGACTCACACATTTGATAAGTGTGTCTACATTCTCCTGAAGCAAAGATAAGAAAAAGATACCAACATTGAAATAAATCCATTTAACTTCACCAGAACCTCAATTTGGTTTCTGAGGAACAAGAGAAAAGAAGTGAACATTAATTTCAAGATAATCTTTTTCAGTGTTTTCCAATTTTGCAAAAAAACATAAATAAATCGTTAGCTAAGATGAGTATATTAGGCTCCATTGGAGATTCTTTCTTTTCTCTTCACCTAGTTCATTATGTTAGAAAAATGCTATTGCACACATCATATGTACAGATTCAATGTCATTTCATTTAATTTCCTAAATCCTATGACAAGGGGAAATGAAGTTTTCAAGAAGATTGCTTGCTCCCATGCAAGGATTGAATTCAAACAAACTTAAAGAATTGTTCCATCCAGCTGGCCAGACTGTCAGAAAATAGAGGTGATAGCCGTATATCTCATATCCATACCCATGACATGTCCAATGCAGGCACTCCACAACACCAATGTTCAACTGGCTGATACATGGGTTTTTGGCCTACCAATTTAAATACACACCGGTATACCGTTGCTAATGAAAATCATAAACAAACCGGCTGGTTCATGAGATGAAGAAGTTTGAATGAGTTAAAAATACTGAAACTTTTTTAAACTGGACAGTTCAAACAACTGCAAAATATATATATATATATATATATTTATATATGTTTATCATTATGCCAGTTGACCTAACTGTTAGATAGCTTGATATACATTGTTGGGCCCATTTCCTAATAGCTTAGGCTTTGGGGAAAATTGGTAACCTAACACAAACATATGCTGCACGGCACCAGCAGCTATGAAGGTGTAACTGTCCTTAGGCTCCTTTTTTTATATATTTATAACTGGTTGATGCCTCACAGCTTCGTCTCTTACCCGATGTGGGTCTACAAGCAAAATCTAAGTTTCATAACTTGCTTTTAATAGTGTAGCGTATGCCTCAAAGGCAAGTACACCAGCAATGTGGGATTCACTACAGCTTCCATTATTTTTGTGACTGATCAATTGAGCCAAAAGGGAGTGGTGAATTATGACTGGTACACACATCGAAAAAAGTGAGGTGAGAAAAGTATCAAGTAAAAAATGATTCTATATATGAATATAATAAACAAAATGTGAGAAATTAAATTTAAGAGGTTGTGTATCATTGAGTTTTAAAGGGGCTGTGAATGATTTTAGAAAATTCATGCCCACATCCCCCAATTCCCAATACATATAGCTTGAAACTCCCGACACTGCAACACGGTGATGATACCAATACGTCTCTAAATACCACTATTTAGAACCATGCTCCACACATACTGAATGTCCCAAAGAACAAAAGTTTCAGGATCAAGATTTTAGCTCTACCTCTTTTCGCTACCATTTCTCAGCAATCACAGAGAGGAAAAGAGCAAGGCAAATAGAATTAAATAGAAAATGTAAATGTATATATAATTCTAGTTTTTTGGGGAAGTACATACATGAAGCCTTTCAATCTGGGATTTCCTCATTGATTCTGAACCAAACTTTTTAGCAGGTGTTGGACTCTGCAGTTCCTGTAGGAAAGAGCTCTTCCTTATGAACAGGGTTGACTACATTGATAACAAAGAAATAACATGTTTAAAAAAGTTATAGTAGCTCTGTTTTATTCACTCACATGATAACCATTTTCTTCAGGCTGCAAGTAAAAATAACAAAAGGGTAAGAACAAAACCACAAAAGAGCCAAAAAAAGGCACTGACATTTTCTGTAGCATGTTAACCTGAGCTGCTTTAATATCTAAATGTTCTGACATTTTTCTAGAAGCTGAGTTCACCAAAGCTTGATGCCGCAAAACTTGGTCTTCAGTCTCAATGTCAGAAAGTTTTTCTTCAAGCCTGAGATAAGATAGCAACAATACAAAAAATAAAATTAAAAACAATCAATCACCAGTTAGTTATAAATATATATAAATGTTCCAGCTCCATTTCAACTTCACTGAGTGAAAAGATCAAAATTGCATCCCAACAAGAGTAAATTAGTCAATGCAACAACCTCTGCATATCAGTCTTCAACTGAATTATCTTTGACTCTGCATCCAAAGCCTGCTTCAATCGCTCTTCACTAAGCTTGTTTGTTTCTTCATATTTTTTTTCGGCTTCATTAATTTTATTTTCTAGAGAACTTACCAAAGCCTGTAAAGCGTCACAATGAGCAATGTATCAAAAACAAAAATTCAAGAAACTAATGTATCACCAAAAAAGTGCCAGAGAAGATGCTATGCAAGTATGTTGAGTGTACAAGAGAGTTCACATCTCTATTAGAACACATCTCCTAAACAAAAGTTAAATCAAACACAAAAACTTGCACAATCATAAGTACATACAAGAAATGTCTTAAACTGCAAGTCGAAATAGAACAAATTCAACAAGAAGAGGGAGGGAGGGTTGATATTAGGCTCCAAACGATCTGACCTTAAGATTTTCATTTTCAGCAGTTAGCTTATTAATCATTTCATGATCAATAACTGGGACCTCCTGTATGACAGGGACCTCCTGTACGACAGGGATTTTCTCGACAGCTTGCTTTGCAGCCTCACGTTCCTTAACAAGCAATTCTTTAGTTTCTTGAAATTGCAGTTGTATCTCTTGGAAAGCAGACTGCAATTTCGTATTTTCCTTTGTTTTGGCTTCCTCAATGTCAGCCTACAAAGAATGAAATGGATACCAGAGTTAGAAACCAGCAATACCAATAATGCAGTTCTAGTTATGCAGAATCAGAAAAATGCATATCCATGGGGAAGGGAGACAAACAGAAGGGTTTAGCAACTTTTTGTTACCTTGCACAAAGTAACACCCAAAAAAATAAAACAAACGGGCTCCGTTTGTTTGAAGTAAAATATTTTACACAAGAAAATATTTTTCATGTAAAATAATTTTGCACAAAATAAAAGTTTTATTTTTATTTTCCCGTGTTTGGTTAACAGTTGGAAAAAAATTCCATCACAAATATTTTTGAAGGATAATGCTCTGTATTTGCTGAAGAGCAAAAGAGAAAAACTATCTCAAGGCAAACAACAAACCCAAAACCCAATGCTGGTGTGTGATGTAGCCTACCATCGAATGAGATGAGCCAAAAATGACTTACAGTTATTGAAACGTAATTCATTTTTGGCTCCATGATAAAAAAAATATTTTACTTACTGATTGGGCAACCAAACAACGGAAAACAAGTAAAATATTTTACATTGAAACAAGGGTAAATTACACTTTGCCCCTTTTATGTTTTACCATTTTCTCACTTTGGCCCTTGAAGTTCTTTGTTTTTTTTTCCCCACTTTGGCCCTTCACATTTCAAGTTTTTCCCAATTTACTCCTAAAACTAACTTTTGTCCAAAATTTGACAAAAACTGTCACATTGACAGCCACATGGCATGTTATATTTAACCTACACCTCTAACCCAAACTAAAACCAAAATATAATAACATATTTGTTTATGCCAAGTGACAGCCAACATGGTGTTTGTTGTCTAAATTTGAACAGAAGTTAGCTTTCAGAGTAAATTGGAAAAAACTTGCAACGTAAAGGGCCAAAATGGGAGAAAAAAAAACTTCAAAGACAAAAATAGAAAAATGGTAAAACATAAAGGGGACAAAGTGTAATTTACCCTTGAAACAAATGGAGCCGAAATCAGAAGCATTCGCCCACACAATCTAACTCCAAAAATGACTTTTTTATGTTCACCATTTCTACAATGTCTTGGCATTTGTGATGCCAAGTATCACACTAACTGGTTGCAAAAACCAAAAACATTAAGTAGAACACATCAATTTAGGGCACCTCATTGTACCATAAAAATTCATTAACCTCAGAAATTACAAACAGAAACCATACTGTCCAAAGAACATCCATCATAAAAACATATAAGAAAACTTAGGTAGCAAAGCCACACATTGATGGCAACAAATAATGTGCAAATATTCAAATTTGTGTTCATGTGATGTTTAACAATTTCCAAACCACAACAATATAACATGAATGGCTAATGTATTCACCAAATCCTCACCAAGATCGATATAATTAGCTACTCAAGATTGATAGGGTCATAAACAGACATTAATTATTTTTTTCCAAAATAACAACTGTTTCATCATTATTTTCTTGAGACGATATACATTAGATTGATTTTAACAATTCTATATTTTCAAGACCATCCTTGCCGCCGTCTACTGAGCCCGTGTATCATTCACACAAGACAGTTTGTTACAAAGGTCCAAATTCAAATATAACTCAATCTCCACGAAGCAGGAAAATCTCAACCACTAAATTAAAAATAAAAGATAAAAAATAATAATAATAATAATAAAATTGTTAACCCCAAGGGGTTGGCCTGGTGACAAGGCCTTGGGTCTTGGGGGTGGGCTCCCTTCAAGGTTCAAGGATCAAAACTTCTTAGGTGCTAGCAATTCCTTGGGGCTATTGGACTGGGAGAACCCTTGAATTAACCGTGGTGCACTTGTGGGACACTCTTTGCCAAGGGCCTATGCACCCTTGGGGATTAGTTGGGTTTTGATCCGGACACCCTGGTGCCAATCCAAAAAAAAATTTGTTAGCTAAACACCAGTTAATGCACCACAAACCTTAGTAGCAAGAATTGTAGAAATTTAATGTATAAAGAGAAATAGAGAATTGTATTGTTGATTGATATAATGTTATTGATTTCTATTACAATGATTCATGATTCCTATATATAGAAGAGGGTGAGTGTGTAGTAGGTAAGGAGTAGGTGAAGTGGAGGTGGTAGTGGTGTAGTGGGTTAGGTTTAGTGGAGTAGGTGAGATGGTAGTGGTGTAGTGGGTTAGGTTTAGTGGAGTAGGTGAGATGGTAGTGGTGTAGTGGGTTAGGTTTAGTGGAGTAGGTGAGATGGTAGTGGTGTAGTGGGTTAGGTTTAGTGGAGTAGGTGAGATGGTAGTGGTGTAGTGGGTTAGGTTTAGTGGAGTAGGTGAGATGGTAGTGGTGTAGTGGGTTAGGTTTAGTGGAGTAGGTGAGATGGTAGTGGTGTAGTGGGTTAGGTTTAGTGGAGTAGGTGAGATGGTAGTGGTGTAGTGGGTTAGGTTTAGTGGAGTAGGTGAGATGGTAGTGGTGTAGTGGGTTAGGTTTAGTGGAGTAGGTGAGATGGTAGTGGTGTAGTGGGTTAGGTTTAGTGGAGTAGGTGAGATGGTAGTGGTGTAGTGGGTTAGGTTTAGCTTTTTAACATATAATAAATAAAATAAATCATCTAATTGTCAAAAGAAATCTATTTAAATCATATATAATAAAAAAATCTTAAAAAATTTATAAAATAAAACATCAAATTTTTATTTTTTATTTATTTTAACATAATTTATTATTCCTTATTTATTATAACAAATAAAATATAATTAATAAAAATAATACATAAGCGCTCCTAATCTATGACTCCTCTAAGTGGCCACATTCCCTTGCTTCCACTCCCGTTTCGTGCAACTAAGCCACAATGCCAGTAAGCCAGGTGGGATCCAGTTGAACTCTCAACCTAAATGTTGGGGCTCAAAACCTGCTGCTTCCCAGAAAAAAGAAATAATATGAGGTCTAAACATGCATTCAAGGGGACTACACTAGAATGCCAAAGCTGATCAATCTAGATATCACCCAAAGTGTCACGAGTGCACTACGTCAGCAAACTAAATCACCAACTATGCACATCAAGTACCTGTTATAGCAAGATGTCAACAAGAATTTTTTTTTTTTTTTTTTTGATTTTTTTTGAACACAAGCAAGAAAATTTCTTTACAACACCTAAACAATATGTAAGCACTTGCGCCACTACCATGGCCTCTTCAATGACTAGAAAGCTCCCAGTTGTTGGACTAGGACATCTAGACAACTTGCAGTGACTCAGACCTATTACCGGATATCTGAACAAAATATCTTATAGGTTGACAATTACTATGATCAAATGATTTTAGGCCATTAGGAGTTCAATAACCAAAAATCAAGCCAAACATTAAACTTGGTGCTTGCTAACTTTGTGTCTTAACCATATGGGTCATTCCCAAATGTTAGTCCTAAATAATCAAGAGTAATAGGGGGGTTAGACTAGGAGCAGGCCCCACCTTAGGCATTATATGTACCAAATGGCAGCCTTCAAACCCAAAGTCACATTATCAAACTTGATAGCCCGAGCTTTTACCATTGCACCTAGCAATGGCCCTAATCTAACTCTTAGTAACAAAAAACTCCTATGGGGGCCTTGCACCTCGCTCTAGAACCTCAATCCCAACCCTGTCCCTGCTATCGTTCTCACCCCTGCTCCTACTTCATGCAACTATGTTCTAACTTGGCATCTTATAAGTGAAAACTGAAAAGGGCTATGTTTTATATTTTGGAAATATATTAGTAAGAATACATGAAAATCTATAAAATTAAATATGTAAGTAATTTTACGTGCATTACAGAATTCATGCCCATCCAAAGCTTTTTGCCCATTCTCACTATAAGCTATAACCCTAAGTAGCATGATCGCTTCCAAGGATAAGAAGCAAACAATCCTAGAAACGTATCCAAAACTTCTTTGGCGTGTCCTAATGTAAAAAAGAAATTTCTTAATTTTGGACACTACTATGACACTTCTTAGGCACACCCAACATGAACTAAGATGTGCATCTTTTTTATAAGAATAATGTACTGCATTCCTAGGCATGCAACTCACAAGTCTTAAAATGTTTCTAAAATGAATATATGAATGACCAAGAGAAGAAGTATACTATGGATAACACAGAAAAGTGCATATTAATACAGATGGGAAATGATAGAGAGCTCTAAATATAGAGCTCTAATTTGAGCTCTAATGATGTGTCAAAGCAAAAAAACAAAAAAAAACAAAAAAAACAAAACAAGGCACAAACATCACATCAGGGTGGGACCCACCTTCCCATTAGAGCTATTAGAGCTCCTATATTAGAGCTCTAAAGCATTTTTGTAATACAGATTTTAAATAATAATAAAAAAATGTAATAAGTAAGAAAGTACTATAAGATGTAATATATACAAGAGTTTCCTTGGGCTTCATCTTCCCAATTCGTTGTGTTAACATGGTTGTATCAGTCTCATGTCATGTCTATGTATGACACACCATACAATCAACAAGGGATATAAAAGGGAGGCAATGAAGAAAAACACCCCTCTAGTGCTAAACAACCAACATAATATGAGTTCGTAAAGGACACATCAACAATCCCAAAACACGAATATGCTAGATTTTCAAATAGTTAATCAATTTACTCTATAACTGCACACACACACACACACAAAAAAAAAAAAGAAGAGTAAACATGAAATACGAAAAGGTCAATTGTCGCATCTAAGGGATGCAAATTATCGGTAGGAATAGCACAGACAATCAAACCCAGTAGAATATCAAAATAGCAGCTGCTTATGCTATTATGCAAATGCTCAAAGAAATGGTACGGATAGCATCAATGGCATATTTTGTAGCAAGGAGACCTTATGAACACTAAGTCCCAAGAGTTGTATTTTATGCCAAACCAGTAAGACAGTAAATTATTTCATTTCTATTTTCCTTTGAAGAACATACTTTTCTCGCCAAAAGACATGTATTGGGTAGCATTGAATTGCATCAGTATTCTATGAAGGATATGCTAGGCAGGTTTCAGTAGGAGGCCCACAGCCCTCCCATCTCACATGGTGGGGACCAGACATGTGAGAAAGAGGCATGTGGTTCCATCAAAAAGGACATTGTTATAACAAATTTCCTTCTAGTAAACATGCCAAAGGTAAATTGTTGTAGTCAGCAGATATGTTCTTCGTTTCGAGGGAAATTTGAAAGGAAAGGAATGCAAGAACTTTATGGGACAAACACTAAGGTGAAGTCATTTTGGATAATGTCCTAACTGTTTCTCAAATTCTATGTGGGAATGAAATATTAAGGAGTTTGTACGAATCCCATCGAGCAGAACACTTTGAGATTGGTACTTGGTTTGTTTTACTTGTAGTCAATTTCCAAGGCTCACTCGCATATGAATACCTCCACGGTTCCACCAGGAACCAAAAGACAAACTTCGACTATTGCTCTCTTGGTAATCAAGCAACTTGCGGATTGTAGGCATAACTAGAGGCCATGCAAGTAAATCTTATCTTCCTAAAGATCACACAGAAACAAATTTTGGAATCAAAGCAGATGTTCTGCCCTTCCTTAGAGCCTGTATGAATCTGTAAGACTGGAATTACCTAAAGTGGTGCTGAGTAAGTCTCAGTTCTCAAAAGTTGCTTAAAAGAAGGGTGCAAAGTTCCAAACCACGAATTTAACAGGATGTTTGGAAATGGAATGCAAGTGAACCTCAAGATCAGGTAACTCAAAGGAACATGTTCAAATTAGGTGAGAGAAAATCACTCTGAACCATTTTGTGTGACATGACTATTCCCCATGAACTGCATTGCAAAAATGTTGCAGTCAGATTTTATCCTTATTTTCCAGCTAAGAAACAGCAGCATTTCTTTTAGATAGAAGAAAAAAGATAACAAAGCGGGAATGATATCGCTTGAATGTTGTTCTATATTTGTCCCCCGAATCTAGAAATCTCAACGTAAGCATGACAAAAAAGATGAATCCACGAGTTGAAAGCTCTTGTCAGAGAAAAAGCTCCCACCAAAAACAAAAGGTGCCTATATATATCTCCATGCTGACAAAGGTGACATCAGGAACATTTTCACAAGTCATTTACATTCTACATGCATTTAGCACTAAGGTCAATGGAAACAAGGAAATATTTGTCTCCACAAAGCATGAATTCTGAAACTATATATTTGGCCATACACCAGACTAACAAGTAAATATAGAATAAAATATAAACATACAATCTGTAGCAATCACATAATATCAATACCAACATTCCGTAGCTAGGAAATAATCTTAAAAACCAGGCATTCCCATGATATAGTATGCTCACATGTGATATGAGACAAATAAAATTAATAATGAGATATAGCATATTTGCAAGAAAGATCTTTACCCTCATGCGTTTCTCCAGCTGCAGCCGCCAGGTCAGTTCTTCAACTTGCTTTTCAAGCATGGTTTTGGCAGCTTGGAGAGCACCAGTTTCTTTAGCAGCCTACAGGCAGGCAAGAAAAATAAAATCACATCCAACTATTTTAGACAACTTGAGCACAAGGAACAAAAGATACCACACAACTTAAGAAGCTATAAATAAAATTTAATAATTCATAAAGAGATTAAAAATAAATAAAAAACAGTTGCTCCCAATGTGAGTGAATGCATGAATGGACACAAGGAAGAAGATCAAAACTTTAGCTCAATATGATCACTAGCACCTTACAGTAAGCAAGTTAAGGGTCAAGACTTCATACGCCTTAATCCCACCAAAAATGATCAAATTTAGGGGTGTTCAGGGAACCATAAAACCTGCCAGACTGGACGGTCCGACAAGGATGCAACGGTCAGCTCTGGCTTATAAAAGACTAAATTTTTTTGTTCTCAGTTCAGGGATGGGTTTGGATATTTTGAACCCGTTGGCCCATCCCAACCTGTTATATTTACACTAAGATTTTACCATGCCATATGTTGTCCTCCTATTGGCTCTAGAGATTTCACCTCATCCAATCTCACCAAACCCTATCTCTCACATCTCTCAAAATCACAAGTCTCCACAAGCACCCGTCAGTCTCTCGCTATCTCTCATAAAAAAAAAATTATCACTATACACTCTTAGTCTCTCATTGCGATCAAATTCTGAAAGTGAAAGTCCCTTAAAATTTAGTGTCTGGTGGTGTAGACATTTCAGACTAACAACAACCCTATCTCTCATAAAAATAAATAAAATATATATATATATATATCATTATACACTCTTAGTCTCTCATTGCAATCAAATTCTGAAAGTGAAAGTCCCTTAAAATTTAGTGTCTGGTGGTGTATACATCTCAGACTAACAACAACCCTAGTTAAGGATTCTGTATTTTTCTGTTAATTTTCGTTACTAGTTTTTTCATCAAGTAGTATCATTGATGTGTATCATTTTGTTTTCTTCTATTTTTTAAATTAAGGGTGTCAAATTTGATGCTTCATTTGTGAATCTTGATTGTTATTGCAAGACACTCCTTGCTCTGGCATCCCCTTAGTTTTAGCACCCTCTCACGCCCGAGGTCAAAACCCTCTGTCCCTCGACCCTCTCTTTCCCATTTACCTCTTTGTCTGCATGCTCTTTCTTTGAGATGGTTATGAATGTTTTTAATGTCTAACTGTCTATTGAAATGGTTTGCTGCTTCTTTTATTTAAGCATGCACTCTGTTCAAAGTATTTTAAAATTAACTTTGCTCAAATGACATTGGTTTTTTTAAAACCATATTCTCAAGTTACAATCTTCTTTTTTTTTCTTTTTTTTTTTTCTTTTTTTGAGCAAATAAAGTTTAGAGCCTTACAGTTTTTGTTTCTATTTGAAATGGTGGCTTTTTGTTTTCTTTGAAATGTGATGTTGTTAACTTTGTTATCAATGAAAGAAGAAGTTTCTTTGAAATGGGTTGTTAAAATTGGCCCATTTCGGCCAATTTACTTCAAAATGGCAAATATTGTACATGCATAAAATTTGGCAAAATTTGAATTGGAGCAACCAACCAACCCACCCAAACCTGTCAGCCCACAAATACCATGCAATGGTTAAACAAGTTTATAAGCTTAAATAATAACTATAAAATTACACAGACAAGGTAAGCACGAAACCTCACCATTTTAAGCTTCCGTAGCTCTCTGCATGCCACTCTTACTCTCCAGGCACATTGAGTAGCAATTGCTGCTTTCTTTATCCTCAAATAATGAAGACGGGCTATGTATCGTCGACATTGACTCTGTAGACATTGACATATTTCAAAGAATTAAATTGAATAAGATGCAACAGCAACTTAAACCCATGGAAATACCAATGGACAGTGCACAGTATGTGTGTTTGGGAGGGTGGAGGCTAATTTCATCATTGTACTCAAAAGCAGGCAAAGAGAAGTGACATATAAGTGTACTTTTGATGACCAGTTTTCCTAATTATGCCACGCACATTGTACACAAGTATACTAATAAATGAGTGGAAGCACAAAAGGTCAAGAATTTAATGTTGTTAAAATTGTGAAATTTCTTAATTGCACCCAGAACCAAAGAAGCACGGACTCGACATGATATGGACATGATGGACAAGGCAATTTTAGAAAAAAATTAAAAATAATATAAATAGCACACAAAGCAGCAAAAAATATATATATTTCTATATGTTTACATTAAGACAATAAATATTTACTCATTTTTACATCATAGATATTTGCACTACTGGTACTTGTCATCAACACAGACCCAATGTCCAAGACTTAAAAATGGCATTTATAACATAGTCGAGTTGTGTACTGCAGAAATTATGCAGAACACAAGGGGTGCTACTGCTATGTCACACTGTTATTGTTGCTGTAATCTATTCTAGATTTGCACACACTTAAACAAGGAGACTATCGATGTTCAGCATAGCAAGAAAATTCTGATTCTGAATCTTGAATCACAAGGCTCAACACTAGGAATGGCAATGCGGGTGGAGAAGGATGGGCTTGTAGTCTCCATCCCCATCCCCTAATTTGTTGGGGTGGGGATGGGGTGGGGAAAATAGGGAACGGGGCGGAGATGGAGCCGGGGATGGGGAATTGTTGGGATAGAATTAATATATTTTACAATAAAATGGTGGAGTAAATTGTAAAGTAAGAATTTTATTGGTTCAAATAAATCTTGAACCATAGATTTTTTTTTTTTTTTTTAAAGAGCAGACACAAATTTTATTTTTTTTAAAGTAAAAATTTTATTGGTTCAAATAAATCTTGAACCGTAGATTCTTTTTTTTGAACAAACAGGCACAAATTTTTTTATTTTTCGGATGGGAGGTATGAGAGTTGGGGGTGCCTGCTGTGTTTCAGCAGGTTCTGCTGCTAGCCGAAATACAATTTTCAAGTATTTCTATTTTTTTGTATTTTTTTATCCATAATAAAAAATAAATAAATAATTATATTTTAGTCTCTTTTTTTTTTTTTTTGGATGCCTATAATTTAGATATACATAAAAAGTGGGAAAAAAAATTGAATAGAAATCTTTTTAGAAAAAAAATTCACTAAAAAAAACCTAGCAAATTTCTTCTTCTTTTTTTAAATTTTCATTTTATCTTTAGTTAATTTCTTTTAGATTTCTTCATAAATAAGTTAGTCTGCAAGTGCTTTTAGATGTATCTAAAAAGTAAAAATATTGACTAAAATATGAACAGTGTTCACTAAAACAAAAAAACACCAAAAATAAAAAAACTCAAAAATAGTTTTCATAAACTAAACCAAACACCTTTAAAAAAATACAACTAGTTTTATTTGACATTTTAAAATGTTAAAAAATAAAATAAGTTATAAGTATACATTAAATCTCAATTCATGTGAATTGCAAAAATTTTAAAAAAAATGTTTGGGAATACAAAAATCAAGTCATTTTTTTCTGAATTTTTTTTGTCTTTGGTGATGTTTTTCAAAATTATACCAGAAGTTTTTATTTAATATTATTGAATCAGGTGTATTATATTTCAAAAATTTGTTGTAACATCTTTACCCATAGCTATATATTGTATACTTTGATAAGTGCATACTCAAATCATATATGTGTATATATATGTATATAACAGTAGAAACTGAAATAAAAGAAAAAAAAACCTACTTAGTTATTGCCATAATATATTGGGGCCCCGAACAGTGTAAATGGAGTGGGAACGGGGAAACCCATCCCTATATTACCTAGAACTTGGATCGTTCCGATACATGGAACAGGAACGTTGTACGTCACATGTTCTAAAATGTGGTACGATAGGCGTAGACTTATATATATTACACTTGAGAATTTAAAATACTTCTAGAGTAATTTTCTTTTAACAATTAAGTATCCAATAAATTTTTTCCTTCTTTCATGTAGCAAATCATTTCTATGAAAATTTGTAAAAATTCAATGTATAAAAAGAAGTAGAGAATTGTATTATTCATTGATGTTATTGATTGATATTATTGATTCCTATATATAGAAGAGTAGGTGGTAGTAGGTGGTAGGTGGAGTAGGTGAAGTGGAGTGTGTAGTGGAGTAGGTTTAGGTGTACATTAACAGCCCCCCTCAAACTCAAGGAGGATAGGAACTAACCAACTTGAGTTTGAAGAGAGTAATAAAACAGGAAAGTAAACTGATAAATAAAATAAAACAGGATAGGAGACACTGTATGGTCGTGTCAGACCGTTGTAGGAGACACTTTATGGGGTCATGTCGGACCGGTGTAAAAGACAGTTTACGGGGTCATGTCGGACCATTGTAGCAGACACTGTGTGGTCGTGTCAGACCGATGTAGAAGACAGTTTATGGGGTCATGTCGGACCGGAGTAGAAGCTGACCGAAATCAATGTCGGGACAGTTTATGGGGTCATGTCAGACCGTTGTAGCAGACACTGTGTGGTCGTGTCAGACCGATGTAGAAGACAGTTTATGGGGTCATGTCGGACCGGTGTAGAAGACAGTTTATGGGGTCATGTCGGACCGTTGTAGATGACACTGTATGATGTGGATATAGGCTGCCCAAAAAATATACATGTATATATACATCGAGCCCTCAAAAGTCGCGCCCTCAAAAGGCGCGCCCACTTCATCAAAAGACGTGCCCGACAGAAAGCGTCGAGCCATCAAAAGGGGCGCCGGACACGCGGCGATGCACGTGACCGACAGAGTGGCTTGTCGGCCGCGTCGTCATTGTCGATATAAACCAATGCGGAGGCTGTGTAAATCAAACCAGGCTGAAACCTCTGAGCATTGTCATTCTGAAACACTCTGTAAATACTCTGTATCCAACCCTTCTCTGAAACACTCAGCAACCCAAAACATGGCCTGAAACGGTGGGATGAAAAAAAAATATAAAAATAATAATAATAATAAAAAGAATGGGTAAAATTGTGAGTGTATGAAGAATTATTATTGTAGAGGATGGTGTATGGTCAGCATGATGATTATGAAAAGAATGGGTCAAAGTGTGAGTGTATGAAGAATTATTATTTTAGAGGATGGTGTATGGTCAGCATGATGATTATGAAAAGAATGGGTCAAAGTGTGAGTGTATGAAGAATTATTATTTTAGAGGATGGTGTATGGTCAGCATGATGATTATGAAAAGAATGGGTCAAAGTGTGAGTGTATGAAGAATTATTATTTTAGAGGATGGTGTATGGTCAGCATGATGATTATGAAAAGAATGGGTCAAAGTGTGAGTGTATGAAGAATTATTATTTTAGAGGATGGTGTATGGTCAGCATGATGATTATGAAAAGAATGGGTCAAAGTGTGAGTGTATGAAGAATTATTATTTTAGAGGATGGTGTATGGTCAGCATGATGATTATGAAAAGAATGGGTCAAAGTGTGAGTGTATGAAGAATTATTATTTTAGAGGATGGTGTATGGTCAGCATGATGATTATGAAAAGAATGGGTCAAAGTGTGAGTGTATGAAGAATTATTATTTTAGAGGATGGTGTATGGTCAGCATGATGATTATGAAAAGAATGGGTCAAAGTGTGAGTGTATGAAGAATTATTATTTTAGAGGATGGTGTATGGTCAGCATGATGATTATGAAAAGAATGGGTCAAAGTGTGAGTGTATGAAGAATTATTATTTTAGAGGATGGTGTATGGTCAGCATGATGATTATGAAAAGAATGGGTCAAAGTGTGAGTGTATGAAGAATTATTATTTTAGAGGATGGTGTATGGTCAGCATGATGATTATGAAAAGAATGCTTCAAAGTGTGAGTGTATGAAGAATTATTATTTTAGAGGATGGTGTATGGTCAGCATGATGATTATGTCTTTGGTGGAGGAGGAGTTGTTTTAAAAAAAAAAAAAAAGGATGAGTTTTAAAAGAAAAGAGTCAGGGACCTATGGTAGAGTGGATTAGTTGGATAATTATCAGAGGGGTGGCAAAGTTAGATGATGATTCTATTTTGTTTTGGGGGAGTCGGTGAGTGGGTTTGGAGTCTGCTTTTGTTGAGGCTGAGTGAAGATGTTTTGGATGGTGTCCTTGGGTAAAGATCAATTGACGAGTTAACTCAGGAGGCGTCGGCTCCCCTTTCGCCCGAGTACTCTTCTGAGGAAGCTTGTGATCATGGGTTTGGATCGTGTGAAACGCGGTCGCGCTCCAATCGTCGTCAAGACCGTCGCTGGGACGGTGTTCGTGGTGATGATGTCGTATGTGTATAGTATCATGAAGATCCAGAAGCGTTGGATCGACGATGGCGATCTCAACCCAACGGATCAGATTCTCATGGCCAGAAACCTCCTTGAAGCCTCTCTTATGGGATTCTCCCTATTTTCAAGGATGGAAAAAAAATGGAGGGGCGAAGTCACAGAGGAAAGAAGAATGGAAACCCATCTCTCTTCTTCTACTTGCTGATCTCTGCTTTCTTCTCTCCGATTCCATACACCTCGATTTACGATAATAACTCATACGCCTCTCATCACAGCCCTTGAAATCTCCAATCGAACCCCACTGGTTTGAATTATGTATTGATGTTTTCAATCAAACTCCCGAGATCGGGGATGAAGAGTGGAGTGGAGGTGACCAAGATGGAATTTGATGCTGCAAGAGAATTGGAGTATTTGCATGAGAAGGTATGTGTAGAAAATTCTAGCGGACTAGGTTGAGGTCCGGCGGGCGGCCAAGGCGAGGTTGCCGCCCGCCGGTGAAGCGAAAAATACTAAGTTCTTAACCTAGCTCTGATACCATGTAAAAATTCAATGTATAAAAAGAAGTAGAGAATTGTATTATTGATTGATGTTATTAATTGATATTATTGATTCCTATATATAGAAGAGTAGGTGGTAGTAGGTGGTAGGTGGAGTAGGTGAAGTGGAGGTGGTAGGTGGAGTAGGTGAAGTGGAGTGTGTAGTGGAGTAGGTTTAGGTATTACTCATTTTTTGATTTTTTGTCTTGTCAAAACTTAACTCACCTTAGATTTTAGTTCATATATTTGATTTGTTTTCTCCTAAGTTAACATTTAAGGAAATGTATTGGAAAAAAATTTGGAGATCGCTTCGGATCACTAAATTTATCGTTTTGGAATGGAAGTGTACCATATTTTGGAACGTGCATACAAATACGTAATTCGCTAGAGTATTAGCGTTTTCTGGTAACATAAACCCATCGCCTACCCATTTTCTTATGGAGGCGGAGAAAATTCATACAAACAGGGGCAGGGATGCGGGGATGAGGCATGGATAGAGCAAATTGTCATCCCTACTCGACACCTTAGGACTGTATCCAGAAATCATTATCAAAGTAAGAATTATAGAAAATGAGTTTAACAGAATTATTGCAGACAGAACAACAAAATTCAAATTGTCAAAATAGAAAAGAAAAACAATGATTCATTTAGTGTCATTTATATATGATCTCACCACTTCCTATTAATTTGAGGGTTGCTAAATGCCCCTACCTTTCTTCTTAGGACCCCCCATTTTATTGAACCCCCACCACCAATATTACTTCCTTCTTCATTTTTCTTTAGATCCCTACCATAACCCCAAATATAGCCTCACCCTAACATTTTATCTCTTTTCTCTTACCTCACCGGTCCCCAACCATAACCCACTTTGGTCAACAACCTCCCCCACCATCACAGCCCCGGCTGGCAGCTTACCCATCGTCACCCACTCACCACCACCACCACCACCACCACCTCCTCTCCCCCATCCACCATCTTACACCAACCCCCCTCGCCGTAGCTCTCCCTCTCAGTCATTCATCAACGCCGCCACCCACAAAACAACCCTAGAGCCCTCCCCCACCATGCTCATGTTTGATTTTTCTTCATTTGAAATCGTCCCGCCTAGTTTGGAAAACCAATACCGAACAAATGGTGGAGGTTCGGGTGCAAACTACCAAACAAATGGTGGCAATTCGGTTGAAGACTGTTGAACAAATGGTGGTAGTTCAGGCCTAAACTATTGAACCGAACGAGAGAAGAGAATTTGGTGCAAATGCAAACGAGTCTAGCCCAGTTTTGAGGATCGTCTTTGAGCATGAAGAAAATGTTGAGAACAATCTACTCGAAGAGCTTTGAAAACACTGTATCGGTCATTTTCTTTACAAATAGAGAAATGGGTATTGATACAAATCTTTGATTGTTCTATTTTTCTAATCATCCTCCTCTTCCTCTTCTTCCCCCAAAACCCTAACCCTAAATCTAGGATTTTCAATCTAAAAGCAACAATCTTTGCCAGAGGTGGAGATGTGGTGACTGCCACTTCTCTCTCTCTCTCAGTGGTGGTGGTGAGGGGGCTACAAAGGTGGTGGTGGTCGCAACGGTGAGACATCAGAGGGAGTGGTGGTTGCAGCAACTAGGGGCTGCTGGATGGTGGTCGGAGATGGTGGTGACTGCCGGAGGTGGTGGGGGATGGGATTAGGGTTAGAGTTTGGGTTTGGAAAATTAGGGTTGGAAGATTAGGGGCAAGGGTAAAAATGGAATTTTATATTTAGACAAAATTGGAATTAAAAACGGAATTTTATATTGAATTTTCTGCACTAAAACAAAACCTTCAATATTACCTGGATAAGGATTGCAGCCTCTGTTTGCTTTCTGAAGCGCAGCTCATCACGAGCAGCCATTCCACGGATACCTGCTTGAATAATGACAGCAGAAAAGCATAACATTTTGTAAGCCTTCCGGGAAATATACATGCGAATGTCTTTCTGGATCCTCAGACTTGCAGCTTCCCTCCTCATGATTTCATGGCAACAGCGTGCAATTTGTCCTAAAATCAACTCAGACAACAAATAACAGCAGGTCAAAGTAAAATTCAATTTATCAGCAATCAAAAGCCAAGCTCACAATCTACAGTCATCAACAAAATGTGTACACAAATACATGGAACAAAAATTAATACCTCTACACATAGATTGAATTTGGATGGCAGACAACCGCAATGCAATAAAGCCTCTGCGTCCAAAGTATGAACGAACTTTTCTCTGGATAATGCACGCAGATCTTCCTAAAACTTCAGTCCTTTTACAATCTAGTTCCGCCATCTGACCAGCTCTAAGAAACACTTTGGTTTTACCAATCTGCAGCACAATAGGACCAATTAGATTGCATGTGTAGAACCAATTCAAATAATGTACATTTCAATCTTGTGACTCAGATGTGCAAAGCATCACGTATAATTTTGTTTTCCTAGTGTAGAAGTAGCCACTAAAAGAGGATATAAACTAAATAAAACGTCTTGATGATAGGCTTAGAATAAGGGGTAATGATGATTCAACTACAACCTCCAAGCCACAGGTGGGCATATCAAACTGGGTCATAGTAAACACAAGAAGACATCAGTACACATCATGAATGCCCAATGCAGATCGGACAAGTGTGTTGGACTAAGACAAACAAGAATATGCTCTTAAAATACAAGTCATGATATTTCTAGTCAAATGTGAAGAAGACTATGATCCTAATTACCACCATGCCATGACATTCTTTGGAAGAGGTTCCATAATTACATTAATATTGCAAAATGGCAAATGGAAAGATCTGAGTTGAGATTGAAATTGGAATAGCTGTCTTTTAGGGAACAAATTTCTTGGACTCAAAAAGCAAAGATCAAATGGTTGAAGGAAGGGGATGTTAATTCAAAAAAAATTCACAAGGTTGCAAACGGGAAAAAGAAGAAGTTCATCAAGAGATTAGAACTAAACCTAGGGGTAATGGAGGAAAGGAAGAATCAGATTGTCGGTGGCATTTATGATTTTTATTCTACGCTTTATTCGAAGGAAGAGGTGAATAGACCAGGGATTGAAGGACTTGAGCAGGGATCCATTGATCAAGCAATTGCAACATGGCTTGAAAGGCCTTTTGATGAAATGGAAATTTAAGAGGCGGTCTTTGATTGTGAGAGAGACAAAGCTTCAGGTCCGGATGGTTTTTCCATGGCTATCTTTCAAGACTATTGAAAGGTGGTGAAAGGGGATTTGTTGAGAGTCTTTTTGGAATTTCATGAGTCGAGGGTTGTTAATTTGAGCTCAAATGCCACATTCATCTGTTTAATTCCTAAGAAAGTGAATGCTGTAAGAATTGGAGATTTTAGGCTTATCAGTTTGGTAAAATCACTCTATAAGATTTTGGGGAAGGTTTTATCAAAACGCCTAAGGACGTCTTTAGGGGATACTGTGTCTAGGGCACAAGGGGCTTTTGTGAAAGGAAGAAAAATCTTAGATGTTGCCTTAGTGGCAAATGAAGTAATGGAGGAATATAGAAGTTCAGGGAGGGAGGACTTATTTTTAAGGTAGATTTTGAGAAGGCATATGACCATGTGGATTGGCAATTTTTGGATTTTGTAATGGATAAGAAGGGATATGGTGAGCGGTGGAGATCTTGGATTAGGGAATGTTTGGCGACTTGTAATATGTCAGTCATAGTTAATGGTAAACGAGGGGATTGCTTTATGGCTTTATGGGGGCTTCGACAAAGGGACCCATTATCTCCTTTCCTTTTTATCTTGGTGACTGATGTACTTGGAAAGATGGTCGATAGAGTTAAAAAAGCAAGTCTTTTTGCAGGGTTGGAGGTGGGGAGGGATAGAGTTAGTATGACACATTTACAATATGCAGATGATATCATATTTTTCTCTTCAGTGGATGAAATTCAGATAGTTAATCTTTATTCAATTTTGAGACTTCTTTGGATTATTTCAGGGCTTAAGGTTAATTTGGGAAAAAGTAGTGTGGTGGGAATTAGTATGCAGCAAGATCAGCTTCAGACCAGGGTGACATTTTTAGGATGTGATATAGAGTCACTTTCATTTAAGTATTTGGGTCTTCCATTGGGGGGTTATCCTAGGAGTGAAGCTTTTTGGAATCCAGTTGTGGAAAAGATTGGTAAGAGACTGGAAGGGTGGAGTAAGGCTTTATTGTCATGTAGGGGTAGATACACTTTAGTTAAGACTGTTTTGAGTGGTATTTCTATTTATTATTTATCTTTGTTCCAGGTTCCGATTAAGGTGGCAAGGTTACTAGAAAAGTTGATGAGGGATTTTCTTTGGGAAGGCAAGGATGAGGGGAAAAAGGATCACTTGGTGAATTAGGATAGTGTCGTTACCTAAGGAGAAGGGGGGTTTGGCTATCGGTAATATTTTGGCTAAGAACTTGGCCCTTCTTGGCAAGTGGTTATGGAAATTTCCACTTGAGACTGATTCACTATGGCATGCGGTTATAAGAAATATGGGACTCATGACAATGGCAGGGATTCAAGGGTGGTATTGAGGGGTAACCATCATAATCCTTGGAAGTCAATTTCTCAAATTTTCACATGTTGGTCTCGTCATCTTTCTATAAGAGTGGGCAATGGGAAACTTGTTCGATTTTGGGAGGATGTTTGGATGGATCAATCTTCTTTTGCTACTGGCTTCCCACATCTATATAAGATGGCTCAATCTCATAATTCTTCGATTGCTTCCATGGCTTGCTCACTTTTGGCTCCAATTTCCTGGAATTTTGATTTTTCTAGGAATCTTAATGATAGGGAGGCTTCACAGTGACTTCTTTGTTGTCCAGAATTGATCATTTTTCTTTATCTCCTCTTTTGGAGGACAAGAAGGTTCGGGCTCTTCATTCGTCTGGAATATTTTCTTGTAAGTCTTTTGTTGATTACATCATTGATAATCCTCATGTTCCTCAATTTCCTTTTTGCAAAAAAGTTTGGAAGGCTTGTGCTCCCCAAAAGGTAAAGGTGTTCATGTGAGCCTTGGTTCATGGAGACATTTTGACAAATTATACATTGCAGAAACAGAGACCTAATCATTTTCTAAATCCTCAGTGGTGCATTCTGTGTTGTAAGAATAGGGAATCCGTGGATCATTTATTCTTGCATTGTCCAATCGCTTTAAATTTATGGCAAAGATTGTTTTCTTTGGGAAATGTTATGTGGGTAGCCGCAAAAGGGAGTGCGCATATGCTCCTAGTTGATTTTCCCACATTCAGAGGATCAAAGAGAGCCAAAGTGCTATGGTCTTGTGCCATCTTCACAACTTTTTGGGTTCTATGGATGGAGAGAAATGCGAGGTTGTTTAAAGATAAGTTCCGGGAGATAGGCTGTTTGTGGGATAATGTTTGTCAAATAAACTGCTTCTTGGGTGTCAGGGAGCTCTTTATTTAAGGGAGTCCCACTTTTTTTTGTTAGTTAGAGATTGGTTGGCAGTGTGTGATATATAAGCTTTTGCTCGGGATTAGCTTGTTACGGGTTTCATTTTATGTATTACCATTGTCCTTTTGTAAGAGGATGCCTCATCCTCGCTTGCTTTTTTTGAATTATCAATAAAGTTTTTTGTTGCTGATCAAAAATAAATAAATATCGCAAAATGGTTAAGATGCTCATGTCGAAGACACTACAAAGACACGTCATATTTGCAACAACTAAACAATGTCCCCTTTAACATTTGAGAATCAGATGAATCTAAAACCAATACACACACCCCACTATTTTACCATGTCCCAGTCTACATGACAAGGAATGCTTGTGATGTCAGACATTTGCGCTGTGACAATATCAGCTCTTCTAAACAGGACAAGCCTTTATGCTAAACTTACATTTCATCTAATTCTCTACTCACATAAGAAAAGCAATAGAACAGCATAATATTAATTTTTTAAAATTTACAAGTAAAGAAAGACATCAGTGTTACTTTGAGACAAGTATAAATCCAATCTAAAAATTTTGAAATATACCTGGTGACCTATGAGGCCAACCTTCTCCAAAAGCCTCTTGGAAGCAGTAACCTCATCACAGCTATCAATCAATATAGGATGAATGCAGAAGTTAATACAGTTCTGAAAGTTTAATGCCACGTAGTCCAAGAAAAGATTGAAAGCATAGAAAAGGAACACTCCATGAATGTTAGCAAAGTTGATGTAACTACCGTCCATCCAAAACATCAGGAGCAAGGATGCCAAAACGACCTATAAATTCATCAAATGTTCTCCTAGTGGGAAATCCAGCACAACTGATCCTAATTGCCTCCATGACTCCCTGGAGTAAGATAAATGTCAAGTTCGCAGTACATGCAGATGCAATATGTATATCACTAACACTGCATAGTGAAATAATGAGAGTGATCAACTTACCCCGCACCGGAGTTGTTGTAGTACATTATAATTTTCAAAGATTGAAGGCTTCAGAAGATTATTTGGCTTTACACAGCGAATATAGTGCGGCTCAGTTGCACCAAGCGTTTCAAGCAACGCTTGTAATTGTTGCTGCAAGGAGTACATGACAGAAGACAACTTAAAAGCAAAAGAAGCATAAACTTTGAATCAACCAAATGTACTAGAACAAAAAGCAGACCTTAAAGCGAGAACCTATTGATGAGAACTTAGATGATTTTGAAGTTTCCTCAGGTAAGGGTGGGAACAAGCTTGACACAAAGGAGCACCCTGAATCACTCAAAAGTGCTTGATGCTCTGCAACAACATAATCTTTGTTCTTATCCAGAAAGAATTCAGTTTGATAAGTGACCTGAAATCAGAGTTTCCTTTTGAGTGCATATTAAGGTCTAATACATTTTTTCTAGCAATCTCCATGCCTGTCCTACCACTGTGAACTTCATAGATTAAAGATACTTACATCACCAGCATAATGACAAATGGTGAAGTCAGTACGTGACAATTTTGGCTTGCTGACGTTTTATGATCTTTGAATGTCTGGTATAGCTTTTGTGCAAATGTTTCATGTGTTGATCTTGGAAACATACTACGAAGAATAAGCAAGTCAGCATCTCAAAAAATTAAACCATAGAGCAAATCATTGTGTCGAATCTGAATGCATTAATTAGTTGAAATGATAAATAAAAGGAAATAACAGCAAGAATATTTGTGTTTCATATTCATCATACATACCAAGCCTCATCCAAAAGGGCAATGATGCCGCCAGGTTTCTGAAATAATAAAAGGATGTATTAAATATATAAAATGGGCCACTAACAACAATAATACACCTAGTCTCTTTCAACCTTTGAAGAGGAATACTAAAGGAAAGAAGCCAAACATATAAAGGCAAGAGACAATATACTCAAATAAGATACGACAGCACTTAAAGCCAACAATGTACTGCCAAAATCTCATAGGAAATATGATGAAAATTTAGGGATAAGCAAAATACCCATGCCAACCCACATGGTTAGAAAGGATGAGCAGGTCAGGCTGGCTAGGTTATGTTATGAAATGGCCCAGGTCTTTGGCATGTGGTTTTAAAATTTGTTGATCCTTTAAAGAACTGAACTGACCCAACAGATCAGGCTGGCCGGTTCATGTGCTGAACTGAACCGACCTGCCTATGTCTGTATTTGTTCACTTGTACCCACCCACACACAATCCCAAATCCTAATAATATTGTAATAGTCCGGATTTCAGAAACTTATCTCCAGGTTCGTATTATCCATTTGTGAATCCATGGGTTGGCACGACTTACAGAGTCAATTGTTTGCTACTTTTCTATTCCCAATGTTGTAAGGATTGTATTGAACCTCATGTGCCGTTTTGGTTGTTTCGTATTTGAATGTCGTATTAGAAATTGTAGAGAACACCCATCCAGGGTACTCCGCATGTGCACTGGGTTGGGCTTGCACTTAGTAGTTTCTAAGACCATTTCCAACCCAGCACCTTTTATTTCATCAAATTTGAATTTGATGAAAAAAAGTACCTTTTGGTTGCTCCAATGGTTTTACCAAACCAATATCAAATCTAGGATATGTTACAGTTTTCATCAAATTGAAGATGGTTGTAGTTTTCACCAATTTACTATTCAGAGTCGTTAGAGTTGCAGGTAATACAACATCACCGGACAACCGGCCGAATGTCCCCCCGGACGACCACTTGGATAAAAAATTGCCCACAACATATTACAGATTTTTGTGAAAATTACACTGGGCAGTCGACTGGTGATTTGATGACTCTCCGTTGGACCGCGCAATATCAAATGGAGTTTTTACTCAATTTTTTGCTCAAATTTGATGAAAAAAGGTTAAACGTTGGAGATGCCCTAACTAAGAAGAAACGTGATACTGCGCTCCCAAGTAAAAAAACTTGCTCCCGTCAAGAAATAAACTCAATCCCATCTGAGAGAGAACCTCTCAAACATATAAATCTCATAAAAACAAAAGAAAAACAACTCACAGTTATTATAATAGTTTCTATTACAATATTTATTTATTAACAAAGACAATTTGTAGTTGATATGAATCTCTAATATTTATTTATATTTGAATACATATATTACAACTAAACATAAAAAAGTAAATGTTAGAATAGCTTTATATATTAAATAAATATATATACATATATATATATACACACTCCTATAGGCGCTCCTAGCTTACGGAACTTCAATATGCTCTCGCTCCTCCGCCCCCGCTTCTGCAACTAAGGGCTCGCATGTGCGGATCTGTGTGGGTTGGGGATTCTAGGCAGCAGGCCTGCATGCATGGTGGGAAGTTTTGCACATGCAGTAAAGGGGGGTGCAATACGGTTTAGCTCTATCCAAATCCACACATGCGGCCAAATGGCTACGCACGTGCGGAGAGGTTTGGCTACGTGGCTCTCTTTCGTCCTCTCCTTTTCTTTTCTTCTCTCTTTACGGTAGACTCACTCTCTCTCCTTCATTTTCTCTCTTTTTCCCCTCTCTCTCTCTCTCTTTATATATATATATATATATTTCTCTCCCCCCCTGCCCTCTCTGTCTATTCTCTCCCACTCCATTTTTTCAACTCAAGATTAGAGCAAGCTCGGGTTTGATTTTGCTTTCAACACAAGAAGGAAAGTTGTAAAGCTCGTCGAGGACAACAACCCTATCGTTTCAAATTTTCATTTCAACCAATTTCATCATTTAGAGCCTTTTCTTTTCATCTCCTTTGAGGTAGGGGGTACTCTTCTCTCATCTATATGTTATCATGTATCTTCTTGTTTGATTCATTTACATATATTGTAGCTTACTGCTAGCACCTTCTACTTGAAGGCTGCAAGCTTGGCATTGGCAACACCTTGCCCCAATGTCCAGCCAAGGCAATGGCATGATGGTGGCATGCCAAATCAGCAAGGTGAAAAATTGGCTAATTGCTGAGGCAGCAACACATAACCCTTGGCCAAAGTATGGGCAGCAATTGCACAAATGCAAGGCATGAACATGACTCGAATATGGGTTGCAGCATACTTGGGGGTTCAAAGCAATCAGTAGGCAAAACTTGGTCTGGGGGCCAAGACAACCAAATTCATGGCTAACTTGATGAGGCAAACAACACAGCAGTTATTAGCAGTTATGCTTGTTTGTTGGCATCAGTTACCCATGTTGGGCAAAGACAAGGCAAGCCTGGACTTCAGGAAGCAAGGCTGAAAGATAGCAGCAGTTAATAGCAGTTATGTCCCAGAAATGTTCCTAAGTCCCTAGGCAGTTGGGGGTGTCAACTGCCATGTCACTTGGCATGCTTTCCTTGTAATGCTGGTTGTAAGTTTGTAACTGATTGTAAGCCTATTTAAGGCATAGCCATGGAACTCGAAAATTAACTAAGTGTTTGTAAGAGTTACCATAGGCCTCCTTTGTATTGTTGGTGCAATTCATAAAGGTTGGGAATTTTCCTGTAATCTCTTGCTGCCTATTCTCTTATTTGTTATAGCATTTGTGTGTGTGTGTATTCATAATTGGCTGAGTCCAACTTAGTGCCATTACAAGCTGGTAATTTGAAACAAAAATTGACCCTGTAACACTTACCATGTTAGGGGTAGATTTTTTTGTGATATTTGTAATGTTTCTCATATCTGTTACTTTAAACATGTAATTAAAGCTATATTAGAGCATCTTATGATTTTAATTTGAGTTTGGAACACTTATCTAATTTTTTTTATGAAATTAGGGTTTGGTTTCAGATTTTGAGATTAATGTTGAAATACATAATATTTCCATTGAATGTATCGGGTAATCTCTCTATGAGAACATGTTGGGTCATTGTTTACAAATATGAATAAACATTATGGATTTGAAATTAATACACAATTATGAGTTTGATTTTCATATTGGGCACTACCCAACTTGGTCAGAATTTTGTGTGAGCCGGTTTGTGGGATTAAGCAACTTGGGTTTCAAGCTCCAGGGTGAAAGTCCAGAAATTTGGCCATTGGGATAATAGGTCCTTTGGCTAGTAACCAGAAAAGCTGAAATATCATATGATTTCTCCATTTGGAAAGTGCATGGATTGGACACGCAAACCAAAGTTGTGTAGGGTGGTGAACTTGTGTTTGTGAAATCATAGAACTCGTAAATAAAAAAGTTGTTGGGTGTTGTTTCTAATTTATGTAATTATTGCATTTCACCCACATTACATCATTAATATTTCATTTGTCAATTTTGCATCATTTTATCTTACTTCTTGGTCATGTATCCCTTGTTTGTTAGTTTGGTACCTAGATATTAATTGTACACTTGGCACCACCGTGAAAGATTATCACTATATGGGGCTAGTTGGCTCACCCCTTCCTCATCGGGAAACCAATACAGGGGACCTCACTGAGTATTGTTGGGGCTTCAAGGAGTCGCTTCTGCACTTTTTTTTTTCTTTTGTTGTATTTCTCTAATCAAACTTTCATTGTATGCTTTACTTTCATTTCTTTGTTTATGTTAAGAGACATAGAGAGGCATGGAATGGAGACTCATCTAAGATGAGAATTTTGCCCTCGTTAGTTACCACGAGACTTGGAGCCATTATGGATGGTCCCAAACTATCTATTTTCTTGGTGTAACTTGAATATTTATTTCTGAAGGCTTGGTTTGTAAGCCTCCAAACAAGATGTAATATGTATAATCTTATTGCTATGTTGGACCGAATGAATAGTGTATGTATGTTGCTTGTACAGGGAGGGTGTGAGGTCACCATACCAATCCTTAGCAATATTGACTAAATGACTATTAAAAATGAATGATTTTCTTAAATAAATTACATCACTCTAAATTAACTAACAAATAAATCTTCTATCATATAACAACTGTCACCTGTCACATTAGTATACTATTCCCATTCATGACTTTGGGTTGTCAAATCCGAGGGCGTGAAAAATATCACAAGTCAAATAAAACCTATGTTATTTTTTCACATAAGCCTGTCTTTCTCTAAGGTTTTGCCATTGTCGCGACAACTCTCAATAACCACTTCAATCAGGTAATCCATCGATCACTAACTCAATCAACCACAATTGATAACCTATCTCCATATTTGATTGCTCGATTAATTTAGGAGGGGTATTGGATATCATTGGATTGTGGTTGGGAATAGTGACAATAAGCTATGAAGCACAAAATAGGAGCCGTAGTGGTGTCGGGCACGGAGAGACACCGGGGACATGAGGACACACCTGGGACACACTTATACACGTGGCGCATCCCTTTAATTTCATTATTTTTTTGCATAGGACATGGCCGTTTTTTTTTTTATTATTTTTGTATATGTCTTTTTGGGGTCAAAGTGTAAAATTAAGAAAGTAAAAAAGGACAAGCATAATCAAACCTCTGCATTTGCCTTAAATCTCTAAATCGAAGAACAAAAGAAAGAGGAGAAAAACAATAGAGTAATTTATTTAAATGTAGTGGTTTATATATATATATATATTGAATTAATGTTAGTTTTTATCAATTTTGATTGTTTGGTAATATAATATTAATCTACATTGCAAATATATATATAAAATAAAAATAAAAAATTGTTGTGTCCCCCGCCGCGTCCGCGTCCGCGTTCATGTCCGTGTCACCATTTTTTTTTTTGAAATCACCATGTCACGTGTCCGTGCTTCATAGACGATAAGTAAACAATGGATGATTATATATACCATAGGATTAGCTCTATTATATTTGATTAAGGTGGAGTAGGAATTGGGGTTGGGATTAGTTGGGGTGTAAATAATGGATGGGATTATATATATATACCATAGGATTAGTTGTATTATGTTTGATTAGGGTGGGATAAAAGATGGGATACTGGGGAAGGATTATTTTTAACCGTTGAATGGAGGAAGAAAGATAATCCCATGGTCTTGTATTAATAAAGGTGTAAAACAAACAAAGCTACTAGAGTTTGACTCGTGTTCTCCTTGTTACAAGCTCGTTCAAGATCAACTCGTTATGTAAACAAGCCAAGCTTCAACATATTTCAAAGCTCATTAAGTTTTCAAGACAAACTTGAAAGATAATGAGATGTGAGATTCTGGCCAGATGCGACGGCAACAATTGCTAGATGTTCACAAAAAAGCTCCAGGCAAAGAGATTGAGACAGTTGATGTAACAAGATGATGCACATTACAGATGAAGCAACTCTCTTTCACTCCGGATTTGTTCTTGGCAGTGATCTCTCGGGTTGTGTGCACAAAGGAGAGGTGAAGCCACGTCAGTTGACAACCTAGGGGGTGCAGACATCTAAGTGTGGAGGTGCGGGCCATGTTGGTGAATGTGGAGGATTTGCAAATTCAGCATCAACACTAGTAATCTTCAGGGTGGTTTGCAGAATTCAAGTCAAACGGAAATTGTTAGGTGTGTGCATGTGTAAGGTTTTATTCATTGTATGGGACTATGATTTTTATGGTTTGCCCATAAATAAGAATCTTATGGCCATTCTAGAGGTGTGAGAAGGAGAGGGTTTGTAGAGATGTAGGGGAGACCAAAAAAAAAATACCAGGGCCACTGGTTGTGAGCGAGGAAGCAGGATTGGCTTTGGACCTCAATTGTTTAAGGGCTCGGGTTCTAGTTATTTTTGATTTCGTGATTGTACTCTCTACGGTTATATAGTGGACATTTCTCTCACCCGTGGATGTAAGCAGGTTTGTGCCAAACAACATAAATCTCTGTATGATTATTTTTCTCTTTGGTATGTGTGTGGTTGTAATGTTGTTCACATTTGGGGATGACAAAAAAATCCCAACATACACTACCTAGAACCAAATTGATACTAGATGGCCATACAAATCACGGCTAAAAAATTCATGGTAGTAATCTAAACACATAGACAAAGGCAAACCTTTTCAATGAGATCAAGTATATCTTGATTGTCAATGAACTCTATGTAGCTCCAGTCAATTTCTTCTTTTGTATATTCTTCTTGCTCCATCTTGAAAACATGCTGCCGAATTTGACGACATATTATGTTTAGTTGATTTGCAAAGGAGTTTCAAGGAATACTTAAATACATGAAGCAAATATTTCACACACAAACCTGATTGAAATGCTGCTGCAGTTTCTCATTTGTTAGATTGATGCAGAACTGCTCAAAGCTGCATAGAACCAATCAATATTTATGACACCAAATAGGCAGACAGCATGAAACTTGAGAATTTCACAAACACTTATTCACCATCAGAAACACTGTACAATGACATATAACATATGGCATAAAAATCTTTCAACAATAAATTCTGTGCACCAGGCCTACCTAGAGCAAAGCTATCAAAAAGGTTTCCACTTCCCCTGATAGGAGAGTTTGCATGCTCTAACTACCAAAGAACTTATGGAAAAATGAGAAGTCATCAAACTAACTTAAAGTGGAACCATAGCCACAAGAGTTTCAAATCAGCTAATAGCATATTTCCATTGCATAAGAAACAGGGTTTTCATGCAGTACTCTGCAAGAAATTAACCTCTGTAAATGATGAAAACAAAAGCGTACCGCTTAAGCACCTGTTTGTCTTGAAACTCTCAAATCCGTAGATATCCAGAACCCCAATCAAGTATTTTGAATCAGGATCTTGACCAATAGAATTGTTTATCTTGTTCACAATCCTGTATCAATAAAGAACATAGACTTCAAGTAACAGAAGAAACCAGCTACAAGAACGAAGAATGGATACAAAATCTATCCATTGAACTTAAACTTACCAATCAAATAATCTTGAGTAAACAATTTTGGCCAGAGCATCTCTACTAAGAGTTGCGGCTTCTGGATCAAGACATTTTGTTATGGTCTCATCACGAGTCACAATCACACGTTTACATAAGGAATCTTCAAGAGACTTCTCATCACACCTAAATGAGACTTGCACATTATGGATTTTCCTTTTACCCTTCTGGACACCAAAACACAAAATGTGGAAGTTTGGAATAATATAATAAGAAGAAAAAGTCAATTACATTAGAAGCTCAGATGCAGTTTTCAGATGGAACCAAGACTTATCATCCTTAGGTTCAGAAGAATCTGCTTCTATGCCCTTGGAAAACTCAATGTTTCCTAAGTGGAGAGTTGCAGCGACAACTCGGAAAATTGCATCCTGCAAAAAGAGTCATAAGGTAATAAAATACCTCTAACAATTAAATAAACAAAGACGCCATGACTAGAAATCAGTACCTGCTCATCAGAACTGATCCCAACAATTTCCATGGCCCTCCTTGTTGCAAGGTATTCCTTGGAATCATCCACTCCGTCCAGCTCATAACAATTTGATTGATTTAGATAATGAAACGTCCTTGGATTTCCAAGCTTGTACCTCTCAACATCCTATAGCCAGCATAAGGAAACATATCTAAAAATATATTCAAGGAAAATAAAATATATAAAGTAGAGTTGATTACAACCAAGTCAAGATAACCATTGACCAAGTTGACATGAAAAGCAAATTCATAATAACTACTGACACGACATTATTAAGTTACCTATGACGGTAGAGTAATTATCCCTTAATTTGTATGGCATAATTATCTCTTGATATGTTTTCCACATGGAACACAATGAACTTAAGATACACATTGTGTCAATGTCAACTCTGGTCCGATCAAATTCAAAACAGTCTATATTGGAATTGCTACAAAATACACATATCACCACCAAAGTCATTTCCCCACCTCCAGCGGGTTAATTGTAGTAATTTCTGTTTGATCAAACTATAACGCTGCATGGAGATATAGTTAGGATGGCAGCACCTTTCGTTACTGAGTCCATCAAGTCAGAAAAGAAGGGCATTCTTTTTTCCCCTTTATAAGATACTAGTTTATTACTTAGGAGATAATGAAAACATTCAAATTGAAGATGAATCGATGGTCCTTCAGCTAAAGGAAGTTACAGGCAGGGAAGCACGCAATATAAAGAAGGGAAAAAAAATGACGATAAAAACACATCTAAATATTGATACAGATCTAGACTGAGCAGTTGGACCCAATTATAATAGACAATTGGACAAAACAACGCAATATCCACAGATTCCAATTGAAAGTCTCTGAATTAAAAACAAGAAGAACATAGACAATCACATAAACAAAACCAAAACCCAAATAGTTCACATAAATAAGATTAACTGCTTCAAATGTAACCTAGCATTTTTCAGTACAAATTTTTAGCTGCTCTTCATGCTTTGCATCAACTCTTAACAATATTGATTTGCTTATTGTCAACAACGGTAAAGGGATATCATAAATTAAGATTTCCTTTTTCTCCAAAGTCAAAATTGGACAAGGACAAAACTCAGCCATTAATAGTCTAAATATAACTACAAAAATACACCACATGTGAACAGAAGCTCGCACAAAAATTACACTAGTCCTTTATATTTTATTAAATATTTTGAATAAGTATAGGGTTACGATGAAGTTCCATTAAATAAGGTGCTACATCTAATCTGGCAAACCTGAGCTTGAATCCCATTGATCGACTAGAAAAAAACATCTTTTCTGAAGTTTAAATAATTCTTTTAATGCAAACTTGCTAACTAGTAATCACACGGAAAAAATTAGTAAATTTCAGGGGGGAGCAATTGTCCATCTGGACCGCCCCTCCACTGCCAGTGCATATAGATGAAACTTTCCAAATAGACCAAACCTCACTGAGATCCAAGTGTATTGCACAATTAAAAGCAATTTTGTCTTTTATTTAACTGCCCTTGTATTTCTAGATGTGCTTCAAAAAATTACCAACAGTTGAACATCCAAAGCTTAGATAAAAGGGGTTGTCCACGTGGTGTCCAGATGAGAAATCACTTAAAAATGGCAGAAAAAAATTGAAATGTCATAAAAACATTATAAAATTTCATAATGTAGGAACAAAAATCTTTAGCTTTCTAACTTTTACTTTTGTGACTTGTATTCCAACAGATCATAACGTTTAACGCCATAAATGTCATTAGAAAGAATATCTCAGTAGCTGCAAACAGAAAACACACAACACTAGTCAGAACATTAAATTTGCATTCTGTCTCTCCAGTCTCCACATAATATCATATACTGCTATGGCTTTTCCATCATAACATGAATAGAAGCCAGTTGGACACACAGAACAAACTCATAAATAAATAAAGCGTGGGGCCACAACAACCATAGTGCCACCATTGTCCATCAGAAACCAGTCGATAGGCCTGTGACAAACCATGAGACCACTTGTCTTGAAGTTTACAGCAAAAACATAATCACACCATCCCACCAGACAAGATATTATAACCAGCTACACCACTAGCTAATTACTACCTAAGTTCAAGGAAATAGCAACACGAAGTTCATCCATACAGCATGCCATGGTCATCACATGTTCTTCCTCTTTTTTATGACAATAAACAAGTCTTGTAGTGTCGTTGGAATTAAAGTTGAGTCCTTTTTATGTTAAATATCTTGTGGTTCTGGAACATCACATACAATAGAAAATATTTTTGGCAAGATTTATGAAAAATAGAAAGTGGGTACTAGAGATAAAGCATCTTCATGCAAACAATTAGAATCCATCAATTTTTTTGATAGACTCGTCCCTGACAACCCAATTTCTCCATGAAGAAAATTCATAAGCATGCAAAAGAGCAATTACCTCTGGTGGTGCAGCACAAAGCATATAGAAGCAATGATAATTTCTCTCAGGATCAGACACTTGACAAACACGAGATCGTTCAAGTAAATAAGTTCTAATGGCAGCCCCTGAAATCTTCCCCCGTTCATCAAACTGGAGCTCCACAAATTTACCAAAACGACTGAAAATATAACATTCATTTCAGGGGGAAAAAAGACAATTCATTTCAGAAAATTCTGTAATCTGGGAAAAAAAGACAATTTTGAATAAAAGGATTTCCACCTTGAATTATTGTTTCTGAGAGTCTTTGCATTTCCAAATGCTTCTAGAACAGGATTGGACTGCCAAACAAACAAAAAGGTGAAGATAAATTAGAAATAAATACAATACATTACTGGTGCAGTATTTTTAAAGGCTCAAGGCACACCAAGGCACCAAAGGTCTCTTGGGACCTAGGCACAAATCGAGACGCAAGCTTCACTAAAGCAAGGTGCACCTTTTTAGTTTAAAAAATTAGGAAAATCAACATAGGCTAATAATTCAAACTTCAACATAAGAAAAATGAAAGAATTCACAACTAATAAGCAATAAGACAAAATTTTAAAAATAAATGAAAAAATAAAAATAACGCAAATTGTAGAAGAATTTCCAAAGCCATAAAAGAACATATCATTTCAAATGCAAAATAATCAAAGATTCAACATAACACAAATATCCAAAAAAAAAATCAGAAAATTGATCAGTCACATAACTACAAAGGTAGAAAAAAATTCAGAAGAGGAGAAGTAAACCAGAAGGCGCAGCAAATTAGAAAGATGAAGAAGATTTAAAAAAAAAAAAAAAAAAAACACCTGGAGCAAAGCAGAAAACAAAAAAACAGAATCAACAATGTGAAAAAGAAGCAACCTAGCTAAGAAAAAAATAAGGCTCGAACCAAGAAGGTGCCGGAGAAGAAGGGAAAGGGGAAAAAAAAAAAAAGAAGAGAAGAAGAAGAAGAGTTTTAATCCCCTGCGCCAGCACATATAAACATAGAAAAATAAATAAATAAACAGCTTATATTAAAAGGAAAAATAAAGCTAGAATCTTTAATGAAGCGCAAGACTTGTGTCCTTGCACATTGCGACTTAAGCGCGTGCGCCTTGTTGCGCTTCATGGAATGCACCTCGCCTTGCCACATACAAGTCGCATGAGCTGCGCTTAGGAGCACCTTTTACAACACTGTAATGGTGACAGCCAAATTTCTAAGCAGAAGTCATTTCATTACAGAAATTCAAAATTAGAATCATAACCTTCAATGTTACCGTGTTAATAAACCGAAATTTCATAACACATTTACCTCTAGGACTTGCTGCTCCACAGTCCGTCCCTCAGCTGCAGCTCTCCCTCCCATATAGGCAAGATAACGCATAAGCATTTTTGTGCTTTCTGTTTTACCTGCTCCACTTTCTCCACTAACCAAAATTGACTGACTTATTCCCTCATTAATCATCTGTCTGCATTCAAAAATGTCATTGTTTGACAGGTACGATGAAATATTTATTATAAAAAAATAAAAACTCAAATTTTGAAACAGCAGAGTACGACAGATTACCTGTATGCAGCGTCTGCAATGGCAAAAGGATGTGGGCTCAGCTCGCCAAAGGCTGCCCCTTTATACTCTTCCATCATATGACGGTCATATAAATGAGGTAGCCTTTTAAAAGGGTTCACAGCTATTAATATACTACCAGTATAGGTCTGAAACAACATCAGATGAGTTAGCTTCACAGAATAGAAATGCTAAGAATTATGGGTTCTATCTATTGCAAATAAATTTCACATCCACATTCCTAAACAGGCTCAGCCACACTAATGCACATTTTGATGTAGCTTATTGGTGCCGCTTCCGAGCTTTTGCTTCTGCAGCTTATGATAAACTGGTTGTTCAGCATTTTTTTAGAAGCAGCTCGAAAACCAAATACTAGCATAAAATATCAATCAAATAACATTAACCTAATTGTTCAAAATGGAAGAAATGTTCGGACAGGGGGATGTATACAGATCATCCAACAAATACTCACATAAATTTCATTCATGTCATATCGACATTTTAAATTATAGAGAACCCCTGGTTCATGCAGATAAGCCAGCTTTGTCATATCATCCACACCGCATGCAGGAGCTTCAACATCTTTTGGATAGACACTAGATGCTTTAGCAACAACCTATATTATAAGCATAACAAGATCAATCAGAAATAATCTCCACTAGAAATTATGTCAGTGAAGAAACAATGACCCTGGATTTATATTTCAGAAACAAAAATAAACATAAAGGGTGGCTCCATTCTTATGAGCCAATGGAGAAACTAGGAAAAGAATGGTACAGATACTGTTAGACTAACCATACATCATTACTGTTGTCTATAAAATTGAAGTGCTTTACATAAAATAAAAGAAATGAATATGAAAAATTTAACGCATTTTTTTTTTTTTTTAATCAGCAAAAAAAAAAGAAACTTTATTGATGAAAACTCAAGTACACGATACAGAGGCAAACATCAATAAAGGAAAGCGAGTGCAGAGCATCAAAGCAAAGCCACTACATCCCAGCCTATGAAGCATGGGTACTTCAAAAATGTTACCGTACTCGTACTGGGTACTTACCAGGTACTAGCACTCACACCGATAGGGCTACATGTGTATCGGGTACTTCTTATACATTCTTTGGCAGTTGGGTACTCCGTGGGTACTTCATGGGTATGGGATGGGTACAGCAAGCTATGGGACATTGGTAGAGATACGTTTAATTTATTAGAGAGTTCTAATTTACTTGAAATTGCAAATCCTTTACTTGATGTGCCATAAATAAAACATGTATTATTCAATGATGAAATTGATGGAATTGAAAATTGAAGTTTTAAGTTTTCAAATTTTGCTTAGCTCGCTTTTAAAATTAAACTTTGTTTTGTAATTTCTCCTATTTAAAGCCATTAAAATATCTTATGGACTTTGCTTTGGTAATGGTATTGTTGAACTATGACTTCTCTTTTGGTTTTATAATTTTTTTTCATTTAGTTTTGGTATTGAACTTTGATTTCTAGATTGAATCTAAAACTATAAATTAAAAAACATAAAAAATTTATTGACGTATCCCAACCATACTCGTATCCTATTTTTTTTAAGTTTTACCATATCGACATACCCGTAACATATCCATACCCACACCCATGCTTCATAGATCCCAACCAAGTTGGTACCGAGATGCAAACCCAATCATTTGCTAGCACTACACCAAAGTTGGTGAGGGACCAACCAAAACAAAACAAAACAAAAAAAAACACAAAATCATAGCCTTGCCTAGCACGACCTCCAAAAAATTAATGCATTTAACATGACCTCCAAAAGATTGAAAAACATTTGTTGTTGGGGAGGCAGCCAATTGTCAGATCTACCTTTCCCCAATGTCTATGGGGAGAACTTGTGAAATAAATTTACTCATCAATAATTAGAAAGAACCAAAGATGGACACAAGCAACAAGCAAATATCAATCAATATGACAACATATCCTTTCGATAAATAAATAAACAACGTCATCATCTGTGTGTGCCATCAACCACAGGTGCCACCCATATACATCTAGAGACAAAACAAAAACTCAACAACCAACCTATACACCTTGTTACTCTAAGAACTCAAAATCCAAATATAAGTGAGCTTTGGATTTACCACCCTCAAGATCCAGCCATACAATATATTTAAAAATCTAGTTTTCAACCAGGTCAGGAGTTTATCAACATTATTGAATGTCCTTTGATTCTGCTCAGTTCAAACAATCCATGGCAAACACAAATGTACCAAAGGAAAAATCTAAGTGAGCTTTGGATTTACCACCCTCAAGATCCAGCTATACAATATATTTAAAAATTTAGTTTTCAACCAGGTCACAGGTTTATCAACATTATTGAATGTCCTTTGATTCTGCTCAGTTCAAACAATCCATGGCAAAAACAAATGTACCAAAGGAAAAGATTTGCATCTTTTTCCAACTCTTCTTCCTCCAAGCTTGTTTTTTATTTATTTTTTGGGTCTTCCCAATCGAATGAATAATATGGCCTTGTGAACTTTCAATAGAATTCCAAGCAGCATCTCTTGAATTTCTTGTTTTCGAGATCACTTGTCTAGCATAACATAATAGAGGTTGGCCCTGTCCATAGCAAGAATGTCCCACCAAAGCTTAACATGTTAACTTGGAAGGCATGACGCCCTTGCTGCAAAGCCTCCTTGTCCATTTTTCACCTTGAGTCGGTCAAAGCCAAAAATCTGACAAGTAAAAGAAAAGGAGATCAGAGAGATACGTGGACAGCTAGACTATAATATAGGTCAGATGTTTCCGTGAGCAAAAAGCAACACTCTTGTCCACACCAAGCTCCAAAAGATGTCAAGGGTTCCCCTCCTCGAGAATGGGAGTTCTATTCCCCGATCCTTCTGATTGACTTTATTGGCTCGTATCACATAGGTTAGGATCAACAAATCATAAGAAGAGATATGCACTTGTAGCTTTGGTTAGCATGTACTTGAGGGCAAGTCGCCCTAAAGGTAGATTCAATGAAGCTTTTAGGACATAGATGATTTCTTATATGAAATGTTCCACTTCTTCCATCCTTTCTCATCTATTTTTGGGGTACCATCAAAATAGATCTCTCAAGCTTTTGATGTGCGTCTTGATGTGACTTCAATGCAGTTTTATGAGGGGTGCCAGTCCACGTGGTCAAGGGTGAACAAAGGATAGCATGCTTGTGTTTTTTTTTTTTTAATTTCCTAGCCTAGCTCAGTCGAGTTAAACCTCTACCGTCCTAAAAGGTAAAGAGTCTGATGTAGGACGATTAGGGACAGTGCTGTAAAGATTGTAAATCTGACTTTCTGTGAGTTCTATGGTGGCTTAAACCTGAAAATCAATAGGATTTTTAGGAGTCTAATTAATGAATGGAATGATTTAGGTTTAGGATTGACAAACCGGTTGAAAGAGATCAAAACAGAGGCTGTTTTAGGGGCTGTGAACAGTACCCGTGAACAGTGTTTTGTGTTGTTAAAGTGCAGAAATAAAAGAGGAAAAGAAGAGAAAAGAAGAAGATAGATCTAAAGATCACTCCTAGAATCCCTTAGGCATCACACATAGGGTTTGATTGCATCACACAATCCATAAAGAAGCTTCAAAAGCTTGAAATTCTATAAAATATTAATTCTATTAAATTATTAGCATTACATGATTTGATATAGAACTAGGAGATTTCCTAAACCAACTATAATTAAAGAAGGAAACTATTACAATATCTTTGACTTCAAAAATTAATCTAAGACCAAATAAGAAATATAAATAAAACTCAATTAAATAACTTGACCCACAAGACCACCCATAGGCAACCCCTACAACCCATACTCAAAAAGTCTGCAAATTACCAAAAATATCCCTAACCTTAAAAATCCTAGAAAACATAAAAATAATAATAAAATAATACTCTAATAATACTAGAAATATGATTATACGTGTTTACTATCGGTTTCTCTTTAAAATCTTGCCAAGTTCCAAATATCGTCGTTACATTAAATTTATTCTTTCTTGAGCCTCTTATACTCTGCATCAGTCTTTCCCATCTTATCATCATTAGATAGGGAGGATCTGACAAAAATACGAAATTCCAAATGTTCAAAGAATCGTGTGATCATGTTAAGAGAAAAGTAGTTGTAGAGGAGCAGCTGTGAAACGGCGATTCCCCCTTTCCACTTAAGTAGGGAGGGCCTCCTTCCCCACCATTCTAAATTTTCACTAGTTGACTAAAGACTTGATTATTGGTGTATCGATTGGTCCAGCAAAAATTGAAATAGGAACCAATTCAATAGGAAGCTTTTGAAAACGCAATGCACCCAAGTATTAAGGAACCTTAGATTCTGTTTTTATTAATTCTTCATTCTCAGTGCAAACCTGTCTACTCTATCAAAAGTCCCCATGAATTCCTTCCTATAGTGCAAACTTGTCTACTGGTAGTTGCGACAGGGGAGGTATAGGAGGCCCCATCCACGAAAAAAAGAGGGAGGTTTGGGTCTCTGTCTCCAGCCTGTAAACCTCGTGAATTAAGTGAATAGAGAGAAACAAAACTAAGTCACTATTGTATTGTGAACGATAAGGAAGACTTGCATTATTAGTGATGGCTCCTACCCGACCAAACACTAAAAGCCCTCCAACCCGACCAAACATTGAAAGCTGGTCCGAGCAAGCCATATTATGAAACTACTTTAACCAAATTGGGTCTAATGGAACAAGATCTCGATTAAAAAAAGGGATGGGGCTTTGTTTTGGGAGGATTGCATTCTCAGCTTTGGAAAGGAGAGAATTTCATAAAAGGACAGTCGTTTTCAACTACTCGTTTCTTATCTTAAAGAAAGTAGGCATGCCTTTAAGTGAGAGGCGTCAAGTCAATAACAGCTATGTTATTTCCCTACTAATTTTTGGCCTCCCTCCGATCCCGACCAAGTTGAGATCAGTGAATGAAGAAGGCTCATGCTCGTCCATCACTTGCACTTGGGGTTTCTAGTTTCATTCCCTTTCATTGAGTTGCTCTTCATGTGAGATCAATAGCAAAAGAAAGAAAAAGAATTGATGCCCCAGAGCAGCTGGAATGGGATAGAGTGTGCCGCTTAGAAATTAGCCACATCTTGGCCCTTGACAGCTTGCTGTGGAACATATTCTCAAGCTTGGGATGACCATTGTTGAGGTTCAGTTGGAGAGAGACCATGCCCCTGGTGAGGTAGGCCTACGTGTGATTAGTGTGCCCTTAAGTTTTAAATGATGATTCTCAATAGTGTACAGGGATCCATTTTGAAAGGTTCTTCTTCCTTTTCCGTGATAAGAAGCTCTGCCACCCCTCTAAAAACAACAAAAATACTCCAAACATGGCAAGGATCATAACCCAAAGTTCTCGTCACATGACAATGAATGAAGACGTGGATGACAGATTCCCCATCACTCTTACACATATACCAGCAATTTTTTTTTATTGGCAACAAAATAAATAGAAAAAATTACCAAAACAAAAAAACCCTAGGGTTTGAGCCTGATAACAAAATAAACCTTGCATTTTAAATTTTGTCAATTTAAACCTTAATCTTGTGATTTGTTTACAATCTAAACCATATTCTCAAGGTTTATTTTGTTATCAGGCTCAAACCTAGGGCTTTTCTTGTAATTTTCCAAAATAAATATCATTGATGAAAATATGTACAAAAAAATGGGGGATGAGGAGTCCGCCAAAGTAAAAAAAAAAGGGGGGGGGGGGGGAAGAAGCAAAATTATGAAAGTCACAAACTACAAATCGCACACTCCACCAATCGCTAGATACCAATAATAAGGGTATCCCCTTAAAAAGAGCAGATACCGAAGCCCAAAAAAAGGATAAATAACACACTCTATCCTATAAAGAATTGATACCCTCAAACTTATCATGACAAAACCTAGCATAATGCTCCAACCAAACAACTTCTAGAATATATCTCCTATATAAGGAGTGTCATTTGGTCTTGTAAGATAAGAAGTTTTGAATATAACAGAAATATATTCCTTCTTCCTCATATTTTCGGAGTTCTTCTTCTTCATATTTTCGGAGTTCTTCTTCTTCATATTTTCGGAGTTCTTCTTCTTCATATTTTCTAAGTCAAAGGATAATGCAAAAATAAATGATAGACAATCACTTTTGATACAGAACAAATTGTAAATATTTAGGATCTTGTCGTGCATTGCACAACACACAAAGAAAGTCATCTTGGATGGAGACTTAAAGATCAAAACCCCTTCCAAGGGAAAACATGATTCTTGGCTCCCCAACATCACATCATAAAAAATAAAAAATAAAAATTCACTTCAAAATTCCCATTCGTTGAAATGGCCCACCTCATCTCATCTTGCCCCTCATGGATTCCCTACATATCATAACACCTCAAGAAATGCCATTAATTTACCTACCTCCCAATCCTGCTAATCCCTTAAAAGCAATGTCCTATCACATGTTGACCCCCTTTTTGAGATAAAGCCTCCTTGTTTACCATAGTTTAGCGTATAGTGTATAGCTTGACAAGCCCTTTCCAACTACTTCTTTTCCCTCCATGTGTGATGCCGAAATTGGATGCTATCTCCGTTTTGCACCTTCATTTTGGTATTCCACAAATAAGTCCCAAACACTAAGAATACGTTTCCATAATCCTTTTTCCATAAAACATAATAACCTCCAATGAGCTCCCATTTCCCAATGCACTCCCATGCTTAAACTTCACGATTTTTCTCCAAATTTTATCAATCACAAGAAAATCTCCATCGCCACTTCCCCAAGCAAGCTTCGTTAAAAATCTCAAGCTTCCTACCTGCCAGCCACACTCTCTGATAGGAGCATGGTTATCAGAATCCCGATCCGGATCTTACGATCCTACGATCTTACTATCCATTTGAGTGCAATCGATCCGGATCGTGTAAAAAACTCCTTATAGGTAGGATCTTTCGATCCTGGTAGTGGGATTTTATAGGATCGTGGAATCCCGATCCGAATCCGATCCTATCCGATCCAATTTACAAGCCTTATTTTGTATTGTATGACATATTTTGTTGTAAATTTTATATTTGTTGTCTAAATATCAATTTATGTTGTCAAAATAAATCACCCACCCCAAAGAAAATACTCTGCAACCATTTTAGCACCCTAGCAACAAAAAATGGAATAATGAATAAGACATAAAGCATGTGGGTAGGCTTAAAAGAGTTTTTTTTTTTTTTTAAATCAAATTTAGCCACCCTGCTTTTGACAAATACATTCTATTCCACCCTGCCAATCTTTTTGAAAATTTTCAACCACGGAACAGAATCCCATATTGCTTAAGATATGAAGTTGGAAGCCAAAGGAAAGCCAAATAATGAATAAATCAAACATTTAACCTTTCAATATCCAAATAATGAATAAATCAAACATTTAACCTTTCAATATACTTTAGTTATATAGGCTTAAAATTTTTAATAATGATTCTTGCATACATAAACGGACCTACACCAGGGTGATGGAGATTGTGCTCTCCCTAGATGTTTATCCAATATCTCATCCCTTATATGGAAATCAAAGGGCTGTTTGAGATAAAAAAAAGGAAAGAAAGTCAAGTCATGCTGAACTCACCTACTAATGGCAAGAAATGTATAAATGATCAATTCCTAAAGTTGAATTGTTGTATGTCATCATCGGTCTTTTATAAACAATATTAAACCTAAAACATTGATTAGATTCACCCATTCGCTTACAGTAGATTTTATATTTTAATATAACAAATTATTAGTCCATGTAACAAAATAATTGAAAACAAAAATTCGTCTATCATCAAACCTGAACTCCTACAGCTTATACATACAGCAATAATATCGACATCATTCTATGCCAGGAATCTTGCACCAGCAATAATTAACTCTATGGGGCCCTTGTTTTGGACTCGTATTCTAATCATTATCTCTATTCTGGCCTTAATGCAGCAAAATAACAAATAGTGAGCATCAATTTTTATTTTGCATTAATAGATACATTTTCTACTTTAACCCAAAACAATTACTTTCATTTTTTCTACAGATTGATATTTTTATGTGGTTATTGGAAATTAAATTTATTAATAGAGAACAAGTAGTTTAAGTGTCATTGAAAATGAATTTGGGTTATCATTCATCTTTTGCATGATTAGGATGTATTGTTCTTACTTCTAGTTCTTAATATAATTAAATTAACATAGCTCAACATAATCAATTTTCCTAAAACAAATAGTTTTTGTATACTAAATAAATCAATACCAGTCATCATAAAGAATGCCTTAAATACAAGTAAAATATGACAGCAATAAAAAACAGGACATTGTGCAGGAGAATTTTTTTCAAACAAAAACTCCGGCAATTTTATTGCAAGCATTCAATTCAAGAGCACTCACCTCCTTTCCCGATGTACAACTTATTTTAATCTCTTCACCATTAACTTCCAAGATTTCCCCATCTACCCAGAATTCATCAGCATCCTCCACCCAAACATGAGATCCAACCACTACATTAACTGGGAAACTCTGCATGTACAAGGGGATATGTTAATAAGTTTCACATGATGTAGGTATTAAAAATAGCATTATATACAAAACTGAACATCAGAGTAACTGCAATGCCATAACCAGTACTTACAGAATTCAATGTAATTAATTTAAAATCATAAAGATTCAAGACAAAATAGAAATCCAAATCCATTAGCAGCAATAAGCACGGAGAATGTAGATTGGCTCAAATGGCATCACCATTGTGACTCATTACCATTCAGAAAAAACAAAACAAAAACAAACAGAACAATCACTTTCAAAAAAAAATAGCAAAGTTTTCTACACTAAGCCATGACACATAATAAAAATTCCAGCTTCAGCAAAGTTCCTCAATGTTCAACATCAGATAAAGGTAAAATAACAGAGCATTGAATTGGGTATTGAGTGCCTTCACTGTTTGTATTAGTAACCACAATAAAATAAAATAAACCCAGTTTAAGAACAGAAAATCATTCAAGCCTCAGCATCACTTGGTGAAATGGAAGACTGTTTTGCTCCCATTACCAGCTAAGGTCAGCAAATATAACTCAAAAATCATCAAAATTCCAACAAAAAATGAAAAACAAAATAGTTGCAAAAATCAATTGAAAGTGAATACCATTTTCTCACAAATCAATCAGATTGGGAGCGATCAAACCCTAAATTTCCTTCAAAAGCGCAATGTAGGCAAACCCATTGATTCTTTCCAATATACCCACAATGTGAATAACCTACAAGATCCAATTTTTGCCCCCAAAATCGATAAACTCGCACCAGGGACGACTCTCTCTCTATATCTTCCTCGCTTTTCCTCGGGATTTTCTCTCTGAAAACGGTAATGGAAATGGAAAATGACGGTAATGAGGGGGTTTAGAAACAATAGGAAGTGTTGCAGAGGCTTTAACCTCTGAGAGAAACCAAAAAACAAAGAGAAAACCCTCTGCAACTTTTCTCCCTCCTCAACCCCAATTTTCTCTCTCTAGATTGTCTCTCTACGGTTCGGGAGTTCCTTTCTTCCTCGTTCTCTGTAACGAAAACACTCAACACGAACGAAAGAACGAACGGTCGCGTAAAGGTGAGAAAGGTCGTTAATTTTTGTATTCCGGATTTGCCCCCTGATGTTTTCTGTAATTGCGAGTGTTGCCATCAGGTGATGAAATTGACGTCATCGTTCGAATCACCTGGCTCGGTACGAAAGACCATCTCCCACAGTGAACTAAACTTTGCATCAAATTTAAAATTTAGTGAAAAAGTTATTTTTTGGAGTTTCAATAGTTTCACTAAATTAGTATCAAAATGTGAATGGAACAAAAAAATTTATCAAAGTGAGAACAGCCTTCAGATTTCACCATTTTACTGTGCGTTACTGTTGAGGTAGGCTAACCGGTCAACCAACCGGTTGTCCGGCCGGTTGACCAATCGGTCGGCTGGTTCCCTTTCAAATAGGTAGGTTCAAATCAGTCAAAAATGTTCAAAAAAAAAAAAATTGCCTTACCGGTCGACCACTTTCCTTTTGATGCACAGTTGGAGCAAATGGTATCAAATTGAGAAAATTGATTTTTTTTTTACTCAAATTTGGTGAAAATTTTGGTTCACCGTTAGAGATACTCTAAGAGACCATTTATCAATTTTTTTATTAAATTTAAATTTCATAAAAAATTATCTTTTTCCTATTTTAATAGTGTAATTAAATAAGTATCAATCTTTTACCAAATTGAGGACACCTCGAGCATCTCCAACGGTTGAACAAATTTTTCACCAAATTTGAGTAAAAAAAAGCCAATTTTCTCATTCTGATACCAACAGCTCTAACCGTTCACTGTAGCGTGCATCAAACAGAGAGGGTAGTCCGGGAGATCGACTTGCCGGTCGTCCGGTAAGAGCAAATTTGACGTTTTTGCCTTCATTTATGTTGCTTCAAAAAATGCTAAGGTGGTCGACCCCTTAATGTAAAATTTTCACAAATTTCTGCTTTAAAGGGGTCATCCGGTGGGACATCCAGTCGGATGTCCGGCCGAACGTCCGGTGGGTCTAACTCAACGGCTATGCACAGTGAATTGGTGAAAGGGGCAAGCCGTTCTCAATTTGGTGAAACGTTTGATATTTTTTCAATTTAATATTATTTTGGTGCAAACGTTGGAGCACAATTAGCACATTTTTTTCATCAAATTTGAATTTGATGTTGGATTTTGTGAACGGTTGGAGATGACCTTAGAATATTTGTATTATTTTACTATTCATAGCTGTTGCATTTTCATTACCGAATATCCTCGGATGACCATCTTTTTGTAAAAATTACACTAATCGATCTACCAACCAGACATTTGCCTGATCACTCGATCGACTAGCGTTTTGATGAAAGTTTAAAATATTTTGTTAGAGCGCTTGATATTAAATTAAGTGTTTATTCAATTTTAGTGAAAAAAATAAAAATAAAAAATAAAAAACACAAAGATATACCGTTGGAAATGCTATGATGAATCCAAATAATGTTAAGGTTCCACGTGACTCTTGTACAATAGGCACGATTGATTTTTTTTAAATTTTTTTGGCGATAAATTACAAAGAGCATTATGGTCATTTTTCAAATATAATAATGTGATAATCAATTAAGATATTAAAAGGATATATATTTTTTCATATTTTCTATAAGCATTAACTAATTATATCACTTATACATCATTGGGTATAGAAAATTGGTCTCAAAAATAGGCTTGTATATCATTTTCTAATTACAAATATACCTACTGAGGTCTACTTAAAATACAGATTACCTCCTGTAATTTGGAAAATTACAAATGCCCACTGAGGTCTACTTAAAATATAGATTGTTTCCTGTAATTTGAAAAATTACAAATACCTCTTTGTCAGAAAATTTTATTTAACAATTTTTTTGAAAAAATAAATTTCTAACAACATCATTAAAAATTGTAGATTAACTTGATAATTTATTAATTAAATAGGTCATTTGTTATTAAATTAGAAACCTCAAAGGATAAAATATAATTTTTAGAACCACAAGAAATTATTCATATTTTAAGCAAATTTCAAATATAATATCTATTTGTAATTTACCCTCTTTTTTTTTTTACTTGTTTAATTTTTTTGTTTTTTCATTTCTTTTTCTTTCTTCCAACTTTTCTGATTGTCACTCATTATTTATCACTATCACCATTTATCATGGCCGATGAGCTCCTCCGTTAACCATCTTTTACTAACAGTAATTACCTTTCGCCACCACTTTTAACATGCCATCTCTTGCAGTCACCCCTTTCATTTATTTTTGAAACAAATTTTAAGTAATAATTACAGCAAAAAAAAAAAAAGACTTTAACTCTTATAACAAAATAAATTCTAAATTTTTAAATTTGTTAATTTAAACTCTAATTTTTAAATTTATTTCTAATCTAAACCATTTACCTATTATTGTTAACTAAGATGAAAAAATAGTAGTTTAACCATTAAATTCAATGGCAAAAAAAAAAAAAAACATTAAACTCAATGTAAATGTATGTAAAATATCTAAAATATCTTTTTTATTGAGTTTAATGAAAAAAATTTGTTGATTTTATTTAGCTACAATAGAAAGATAATGTTTTAGATTGACCACAAATTAAAATATTAATATTTAAATTAACAAAATTAAAAATTTTGAATTTATTTTATTTTAAAGGTCAAACTCCTCTAGGTTTTTTTTTTTTTTGTAATTTTTCCAAATTTTAAAATACTTGTGTACTAAATATTTTTTTATACATTAAAAATAGTAAACTATAAACATTAAGCACCTTACCGTCTGCACATAATTTTCATTTATGTGCAGAAATATTTTTTTAATTTGAAAATTAAATTTTTAGTATTTTTTAAAAATCAATTATTTATAAAAAAATTGAAAAAAATTGCCAAATAGTTTTTTTTTTGGTTTTCTAAAAAATAAAGATTAAAAACATAATCAAATAAACTAAGGTTCGTAGTTTTGTCATAGTAGTTGTCACATATTGGGTTACTACATAGTCAACTCGCACAGTGCAGTAGTGCTAATGAGGTTAGAAATGGTTTGATTTGGGTATATACATATATACACCTCTCGTTTGTGAAGTTGGCTATTTTAATAAATTATTTTAATAAGTTAAAAATTTTGTATTTAAGAAGATAGTTAAATTTTTGGACAAACTTTACTTTATCCCCTATAGTTTGGGCCGGGTGCGGTTTACCCCTGACATTCGGATATCACCATATAACCTCCCTATGGTTGATAGACTAAAACGCACGGGAGCTTCTATATACACACACCCTTTCCTCTCTATACAAATCTTTCTTAATACACACACTAAAAAAATAAATCCTAATATATTTGACTCACTACACACACCTATCATTCCACATATACCCCCAAATGTAAATCATACACACACACCCCCTCTCTCACACACACACACCCGTGAGACCCCTCTCACACACACACCCATCTGAGAACCCCTCTCACACACACACCCATCTCTCACACTCTCCACCGTTCCTCCCCAAAAGTTTCATCCATCCGTTTGTGTCATTGAAGTTTTGGCATTGAAGGGCATTGAAGAACATTGAAATTTTCACATTTTAGGTTAGTTTACACAGATTATAATCTTCTCATTCCTATTTTATTTGTAATGTAAGGTTAATTTTTACCATTTTCGAAATTTTCAGTCCACTGTGATTGCCGTGTTTCATTCGGAACTGGTTATTCGAAATTTTTGTTTTTGTTCGGCAGTAGAGTTCCGAAATTTCTGCTTCCATTCGGCACTATAGTTCCGAAAATATTGACTTGGTTCGGCTTTCAAGTGCCGAAAATAATTTTTTTTTTCGGTTTTCAACTTCCGAATATGAGCTATAATTTCGGACAACAAGTTCCGAACAGAACAGGTATTTTCGAACAACAACTTCCGAACAGAGTAGGTGTTTTCGGACAACAACTTCCGAACAGAAAATAATTTATTTTTTTTTCCTTCTAACACTTAATTAAAACACTTAATTATAACACTCACTACACACACTCTCATTAATTTTACACACACTCTCATTAATTATTTACACACACATACTTAGTATTTTTTGCAGATAATATGGATTCTGAATATCAACAACGTGTCCCACCTACTGCTTCAAATAGACGACGTCGTGAATTGGATGTAGACCATCAACGGGGACGAGGGCGTGGGCGAGGACGAGGTCAAGGTCGTGGTCGAGGTCGTGGTCGAGGTCGTGAATTGTTACATGTTATTTTGTTAGTTGATGAATATTGTTTGGTGTTTCTTGTAAGATGACATTGTTGTAATGGTAACAGTGGTTAATATTTTCTTATTAGAATGGAATGACAACAATGGTATTGTAATGACATTGTAATGACCTTTTATTATTAGAATGAAATGGTAACAATGGTCGTTGATTTTGTAAATGATATTTTCTTATTACAATGGAATGGTAACCATGGTCGATAACATTCAATCCACATTGCAAAATATAACACATCAACATAAAAAACACATTCATTAATTTCTTCCATAATTGTAACATTGTCAAATGCATACATGTGTCATGCGACATCAACAACATCAAAAGTCTCTCGAGTAGCTACATTATCATGAATAATGTCCTTGAAATGTTGAATGCGACGCACATATGCATCATCCCAGTCCACAGCGCAAGGGTGACGGTATTTTCTCCAATTAGTGGCAATAGGAGGAACTGGATGGCCTGGCTGCAACAAAACCTGCACCAAATATCAATTGACTTAGTGGTCATACCTCATAACTTCTTCTACATGCATAAACGCAATTGATAAGTTTCTGTTATACCTGCACGAAATGATTTCCGTTGACAAACCCAATGGCAATCTCACGTCTATCAAGTTGAGGTACTGGCACGGTTCTAAGAGGTAAAAAGGTGAGACATTGCTGTAAAGACAAGTGGTATAACACAAGATTGTAGCACGATGCAACAAGATGGCCCATGTCTGGCATAGTCATCCAATGTGAGTATCCAGGACTGTCTTCAAAGTATGACAATATGCTTGTCAATTCTTCAAACCTTTCATAGGACCCATAAAGTGTAATGTATTCCTCTTTGTGTGTGTGCAGCTCACCCAATAGGTCACGCCTAACCTGAGCCCAATCATCTTCTGTATGACCAATTGAAGCAGCTATAGCCCTGAAACCACAATTCCCATCTGCAGCTACATCCTTGACAAACTTAATGTATGGTTTCAACCCAGAAGGGAAAGCATCAACATATGCACTAGGTTTCACTGTTCTAGTAATGTATGCCTCCCTTTCGGGTTCACCTTCTCATTTCCCTTAACAGGTCGCTTCTTCTTGGTTTGCAGAGTAGAAGCTAATGTAGTGATTTGAGTGTCCCTAGGTGAGAAGAACATTGCCACAATGCATACACGTGTTTGTCCATGCCGCCACAAATTTGTCCTTGTAAGGAACCAACCAAGTATCCATGACATATTTGACTGCATCAGGATAACTACTGAATTCCTTAAGTAATGATTTAAGACGCTCCTCGTATTGAATTTCAGAAGATGAATACACTACAGAGTTCCACTCATGGTTGAACTTCTCCCATTTCTACTATTGTGAATGTTCCCATTTTCATTGAAAGACAAAGCCAAACATTGGCTAAACTCATTACCTGCTAATTCTGTCACAACATGGGACCAATTACAACAGAAGTTTTTGGAGAAGTACTTTCCCATTGGTAAGACCAAGCAACTCAGGCGAGCCATCACCAATTTTACTCAAATTGATAGCGAGCAATTTCATGAAACATGGGAAAGACTTCGTGACCTTCTCCAATAATGTCCCCACCACCAACTGCTTGATTGGTAATTTGTACCACATTGAGGCCACTTAAGTTATATTTATAGTCTTTGAATTTTGTTTATTTGGTGGAGATGATGTGTTTTGTGCACTTGTACAGATTTGGTAGGCAACATGCAAATTCAAGTAAAAAGTGGCGCAAAAGCAGACTCTCTATGCGAGTAATGAAAATTCCTGGCTTGCCACCTTATTGCACGTACGGCTAGGCTCTACCGCACGTACAGCCCATCACCGCTCGAGCGGCCAACATGGGCATTCGAGCGGCCCACCTAGGGCTACGTGTGCTTAAATTCAAGCCTATTCTACTGAGAATAAAAAGAAGAAAAAGGCTGAGGGGCTAGGGTTTGGAAAGAGATTTCTCAAGCTTCAAGGGCAATTTTCATCACGCCTCCATGAGTGGCTAGGCTCCTATTTCTAGGGTTTTAATGAAACCCTAGCCAAGTAAATAGGTTTTCTTTATGGTTTTCTTTTATGTAATGGTTTGAACAGCTGTATGGTTCTCAAGAAGTTTCCTAATATATTTTTCCATTATTTCTTCAAGTATTCTGCTTTCTGTGATTGTTGAATGCTTTCCGTACAATGGTTTTCTACTCTTTCATGTTCATGGTATGAGATGAGCCATCTGGGTCTTTTTTTCCCTCCACCATAGTCTGATGTTTTGATTACAATGACCAAACCATTTCTCTTTCCAACTTCACGTACCCAGTTGAGCAATTCATCCTTACTTTTGAATACCTACAAAGTTAAATAAATATTATCAAACATTTACATTTGGTGAGCAATTCAAAACATAATCGTTATAATTTCGTAGACTGAACCTGTTCAGTTGTGAAATGAGTGGTGTAATCTAACACAAAATTCGCGCAAACCTGACTTCCTTGAGTTGACACATATTCCTGCATGTTTTGTATAACATTACAAATTTTTAATGGCATTATAAAGATTAATTTGCAATTTGAAACTGTAAATTTGGTATGCAGTTTGCAAATTTGGAATATAAAATGGAAAAAAAAAATTTACTTCATTCGGAAGTAGTTGTCCGAATTTTTTTTCAAATTTCGGAAGTTGAATGTTGTATAAGTTAACATTTTTCGGACAACAACTTCCGAATTTATATATATTTTTCGGACAACAACTTCCGAAATTTATCAATTTATTCGGACATCAACTTCCGAAAATACATAATTATTTCGGTAGTACATTTCCGAACAAAATAACAAAATTCGGCTCTGGTTATCCGAACGACGCTGCGAAAAAAAAAAAATTAAACTCACATTTCCTTCGCTCTGCTTCACATGAATACTTATTTGCTGATTTTCAGAAGACAAATCCTCCATCACAAATAAGTAATGAAGAATGAGGAAGGAAGAATGAGGAAGACAGCTTGTGGAAGGAGTGTGGAGCTTGTGCAAGGAGTGTACACTAATGAAGAATGGAGTAACTTTGGAGCTCTGGTATGGAGTAACGTGTGTGTGTGGATCATTTAGCAAAATGAGGAAGCAGAGGCATTGCAACGTCTGTGTGTGTATTGAGAGGATGTGTGTTTATTTGAATTGTGTGAGATGTCTATAATGGTAATTTTATTTAGGGATAAAATTGTAATAAAAATAAAATTCATTAAGTGTGTGCAAAGAGTGGAATTGGTGTGTGCAAATAGAGGCTCCCAAAACGCACACCAACTTCTGTTAACAGAAGTTATAAATTGACAATTATACCCCTATATATATATATATTATTTCAGGAGAAACCTCTATCTTCATCTTCTTCTTCTCTCTCTTCATTTCTGAATTCAAATCTAAAACATAATGTGCACTTTATCTTTTACTGTGTATTTTATCTTTTACCGTGTTCAACTTGGTCTCACAAATAATGCACACCTGCAGCCACTTTTAAGAATTTTTGAGCCCATTTTGAAGAATGCCAGTAAAGAACGTCTTCAAGGAAGTCACACAAGGTCTATCTCTATCTCAACTCCTTCAAACAGTGGCATAATGAAAATTTGCTAAGAAGCAACTTAGTTGCATCAGCTGCAAGGCTCTACTGAAGCTATTTGAGATCCAAACTCGATTGAAGCTCCTAGTTTACACACACACACACACACACACACACACATGTATGTATATACACACAGACAGAAAAAAAGAATAAGAGAAATTTTTGTTATGTTAAAAAATATGGGATTATGTTAAAAAAAAATTGTTATGTTAAAGCTATTTGAGATCCAAACTCGATTGAAGCTCCTAGTTTATATCCGAGGGCAAGTCATTCACAAATGACAATGATGCATACATGGATTGCGCTATTTTTGTATCCAACTTGGAATGTGATAAAGATAAAGGTCTGGTTTTAGAGGTAAAGCAACAACCCATTAAAGAGGATTACTTGAATTTGATCATGGAAGATTTATGTTCTGGTACCAAACAAGTTCCATCTGTTGAAATTCATCCTCAACATTTGGAGTTCTTTATTGACCATGATGGTTTTGGGTTGATTCCAGTTGAAATGTTCGATTTAACTCGAGTTTGGTTTTTGTGATCTGGAGATTGATCTATGTTACAATTGATCTGCTCTCAATACAAATTATGTTCAATCTTGATTTCAATTCGATGGCTCAAAAAGATAGAGGTCGACGGGGTAGTAATGGAAGAACTTTTGCTACAAATTTGGGTAAAGAAACTGAAATGAATCATCCAATTAGGACAAACAATAGCAACCAAAATAGGTTTGGATTTGTATATGTGAACTAGGTTTGTATATGATCAGAAAAATGGGTTTGAATTTGTGGATTTGTTTACAACAAAAATGATCTCTCTCCATAGTAGAGACCCAGATTGGATTGGTCGAAGATCATGAACATTCCTGATCTAGAATTGGAGCCCATTAATGGAGATGGAGCATCTTGAATCAAAAAGCATCTTTAGTAGCTTGATATCACCATTTTCTTTGCTGTAAAGGTTAGTTCTAATAGGAAAAACGGAGGGTTGGAGAAACAACCTTGTTCGTTCTATGAGAAATGAGGAGGAGGGAGAATGGCAAGCTTTTGAAAATTTAAAGATGTGTAGGGGATATTTTGGTCATAAAACATGACTTACTCTCTTCATGGGCGTGTGAATCACAACTCGTTAATTTGGATGGAAAAGCTAACTATACGTTTTAGTCCACAAACCACGTGGGGGTTATGTAGTGATTTTTGAATGTCAGAGGGATAATCCGCACCCGGCCCAAACTACAGGGAGGTAAAGTAAAGTTTGCCCTAAATTTTTTTATAATTGGATATGATGTTTATGAGAGAGAAAAGTGAAATGATTATGGATTTGATGTGACATTTTGTCTTATTAACTATTTTAACCTATTTTGTCTTTTTATGAAATTTAATAAACAAAAAAAAACTAAAAATGCATTTACCAAATAGGACCATAGAGGTAGTTTGTTCATTTTATAAGAATTATCTTTATAAATAAAATATTTTAGAATGTGAACGTTTAAGTAAAAAAATTTAAAATTAAATTTATGCAACGAATGCCCTAACAATATATTAACACGATAAAAAATTTAGGGGTTGTTTGGGGTGTCCTAAATAAGTGCACTTTTTATCTTTTTGGACTAAAAAGTTGAGGAAAAAAATATAAATGTTTGGGTTAACTTTTTGACTTTTTATGGAAGAATGTGTATTAAAAAATTGAATAAAGAAGTGTGTAGAAGAAGATTGGAGAGGTGTGGGCCACAGCCGTACAATCTGCACAAGTGAAATGGGAGTAAGAAATTATTGGCTACTTTTCGGGCATTGCACTGGACGATTTTGTTCGGCCCGTGGGGTTCATCACGGGTCACATTTTGATAATCTGAACCGTTCAATGTGTAGAACTCGTCGAGTACTATATGTCCTTAAAAAATTACATTGATCGGATATCGATAGCTATATGATCAGATTTGTTTTTTTTTCAATCGTTAATTATAGCGTCACCCATTTGTTGTACATAACTGATTTGATCATGCAGTTATCGATATCCAATTAATGTGATTTTTCACAGACGTATAGTACTCGACGAGTTCTACAAATTAAACGGTTCAGATTATCAAAACGGGACCCGTGATGGCCCCCATGAGCCCAACAGCAACCATTTAAAATTACACCCAATCATTTCATTTTTCTCAACAAACGCAGCGCAGCAACTGCACACAGATGATATCAAACTTGTACTTTTGTTTAGAAAATTGATTTTTTAATTTTTTTTTGGTGAATAATGATAACTTTTTAACTTTTTGAGTCACTTTTTGTCTTTTTTAGGCTATGTCAAACCAGCCCTTAATTTTGAAATTGTTACTTTCTTCCTTCTTTTATTTATTTAGGGCAAATTACAAAAAAAAACCTAGGATTTAGCATGTTTTTCACATTAAACCCTAACATTTTAATTTTAACAATTTAAACCCTGAATTTTTAAAAGTGTCCCAATGTTAACCCTCCGTCTATTTCTGTTTGTTTCAGTTAACTTTTTACACTTATTTGATACACGTGTCACTTTTTGATTCGTCCTTAATTATTATAATTATTTTATTTCTAAATTACCTTTTTTTTCTATCAGTTCTCTCTCTCTCTTTATTATAATTATTGTTGTTCTCTCTATCTCTCTCTCTGTAAATCCATTTCTGACCTATATATATACACACATTACATATATATATATATATATATATATATTCACTCTTCGTTTTTCTCTATTTTTGTCCAACAATGCCTTCACGGCCACCACCACCACCACCACCACCACCATTCCTAGATTTTCCGATGCTGCAACCGTCGGAACCATCCACCGACCTCTTCCCATATAACGCTCATCCCCATTTCAACCTCATCTCACCCATCATCGCTGGAGTG